ACACAGACAACACCACTATGGGAATATAACGATTACTACTCCAAATGCTGTTGCCAGGAAACATTCTAGATTTCCTCTGGTTTTGTAAATGTTTTGGAGAAACCTTGTTGATAAAAGTACCTTTTCAGTTTGTAGCTATCAAAGACAAATACAACTACCACAAAGACCAATGAGCTTGAAACAATGGAAGCAGAAGCAGGTATTATATGCACATGAAAAGTTTAAATATTTTGTGTAATGAGTACAATGGTTAAGGGTCAAGGTCATCTTCTGGGTGGAGGCTATTAGCTTCTAAGATTTTGGTTCCGTTTGTACTGCTGTGTTTTCTAGCTTCTCATCCTGAACCTTGGGGAGGGGCGTGGGCGTGTGTGAGACACAGCCCACTACCAGAGTTTAACTGCATTTCTTTGCAAACCCTCTGAATCAACAAAGGGTTTTCAGGGCTGCCTGCAGAAATGCGGAGACAGGTAAAAAGTAGCAAAACAATCTGAATCGCGGAACATTAGAAATCTGCTGGAAAAGAGGAGTGGTAGGGCGGCTGTAAAAACTGTAGAGCAGAATAGAAAACGTGAATGAAGGAAAAGTCCAAATGCAATCATCCGGGTGGTGTGAATCCTATTTCAGAGGCAGGGCCCTCTGCCACATGTAGAAAACTGGTCACACCATGAACAGGTTTGGTCTTAGAGGGTATAAAACCTGGAGCTCCCTACTGCCTTGCACTCAGAACCACGGCTTGTAATTTAAAATAATTAAGAAACAGCTTGGGCAACACGGAGACCCCACATGGTATCTTCCTGAGATGCTGCTGTGTTCCCCACACACAACACTGACCATGGAAATCTTGCTAGCATTTCTTTAAACCAGAATATCTGGTAGCTGAGGAATTTCAGACATAGAGAAATCGGGAGAGATTGATTAGATCTGCTCCTTGGCATGTAAGGAAGCATTACTTATGAAACAGACCCTTGTCAAATCAGCCTCACGGGTGTGACCTACGTGGAGACACACCTGACTCACGGACACCTTTCAAACACTAAGAATTGGAATTATAAGTTTTTATTTATTAGGCTATAAAAGGTTAAAAAGTTTCTGCCATAGTTAAGGCTTTCTTAAGAAGAAACATTTAATTGTCTTTTAATTTCAGAATGTACAAGGTATCTGAAGACGCTTTACTTTTTAGGGTGGTTTTTTAAAAAAGCATTTCCTAGTCATATGCTAAAGTGTCCAACCAAAGCTCAGATACTATCTTCACAATTAACTTTATTTTCATTTTGCCTGTCACTGATTTGACATTGGACAAGTTTAAGTTTCGTCTTTTCAGTGAAATTTCTGACACGTGAAACCCTGTGTTACTGTCAGTCTTGAGTGTTCCCTGAACGACTACAGTCTACAGCTCTCTGGAAGGTAACTACCCAACAAATGTCACAGCAAGAAGGCTGCTTATCGCACATCCTACGTGTGGGTTCTGGCCACAATGGTGGCAGGGTGCTCGGAAACACACACCATTTCTATTTGCAAGGCTGTTGGCGGGAATCCGAAGAGCGCACGTGCTCAGGAGGAGGGGGTGAGCGATGGCCAATAACCCTTGTGCATCTGGCAGATGAACTGAAGTAAAGAAAAACCTAGGCGACTTATTGCATTCGATTGCTCTTCGAGCGTACACCAAAGTGTTATTTTTTGTATAAAGACTATAATAATAGACTATGAATCTATATTACTTTATTTGCCCCATTCAGGCATTTCTCTGTATATATCAATGCACTTTGCTATTTTGAGAGCAAAGGGAAATTAGTCTAGCTGCTGACATCAAGGTCAAGAAGCACAAGGATACTGTCATGAAAACATCCTAGTATTATTTATTCTATTTATGTTACTGGAAAGCTAGAAATTCCAGATTCCAAGAAGGAAAAGGTAAGAATCCTGGCTGAACTGCTATTATTTTGCATAGAAGTAAAACTCTGGTTCCCGCGCTGTCATTTGTTAACAGATCGGCAGAATCTTTAGTGCAGAGCACGTGAGGCCTAATGCGCGGTTCTGGTTGTGATATGGAAACAGAGGTCCAGTCTCCTTTTGCAAGACTCAAGAAGAAAGGAGGAAAATGAATGGGGTCAAAGGGAACTACCGGAGCGAATTATAATTCCAGACTAGCAACGTGGGGGAAAGGGAAGGAGGCCAAGTACAAGGAGAAAGTGTCCAGCTCAGAGCACTTCACTTACGCTTAATTTATGACTCAAGAACCCAGCTGGCAATACCCAGTAAACTGGAACCACCGGGTCTAGAAGATTTGATTTTAGAACTGCAGTAAAGCTGGTGGAGGTGTCCAGATTCTCTCTGCGTTTGGTTTGGGAAACACGCTGGCCATTTCAGGGGAGGCCATACTGGAACTCCTCAACTTGCTAGTGCTCCTATATACTGCATTTACAAGAAACGAAATGGATTTTGGCCCAAGTTAATGCCATGCTTTTATATTCCAAAGGCTTTTTCGCACTGCTATAGATGCAAGTTCCAAATGTAATCAACTTTTGCTACCTTGCGGGCACTCACAATGACCTTTGGTTTTCAAATTTTTGAAAAAAATGTATTTGGCTCCTGTGAAAGATCAATTAACCCATTCTCTTTAGCAGATGAATAATATATACACATTCTTTCAATAACTACTATACACTCAAATCATCACAAGACAAGAAGCACTGCAAATGTCTTCCTTACACAGTACCTTTACTCGGCACACAGAACATCAGATACGTAACATCGGCAGCTTAAATACTGAACCACAGTTTAACTTCTCAAGTGTAAGGCTGAAGTTGAAAATATCCATGAAATCTAGTTAGCATGATGGAAACGACATAAAACCACAGTCAAATAGTGGCTTATCTTTTTAATAAAGCTATGAAGCTTTGATATCTATCCCATGTTCACCCTCTTACTGAACTAAAAATCACAGCTGTGTTTACCATTTTAAACTATATCTAAGTGGGGAGGCAAGTAATACACACTTTCACAGCTACTGCAAACCACAGATGCCATTCCTTCAACCCACTGTTACACATAGCGAAAAAAAGAAGGGAAGGAGGAAAAAAAACTCTCTTAACCAATATGAAACTCGGAAGCTTCGTATGGAATTCTACTGCTATTAAACAAGTAGCCAAGACACAAACACCCAGCTTGGGTCACTAAAACTTCAATAGAAGCAACAACTGAGGCTAATTCTTGATTTCATGTTGAGGACCCATGCAAGATTCTGCTACAAAACTCAAACTAGTTCCCGATGCCTAGTTCTAGCGTTGGACTCAAGCCAAAAAGAAAGCTAAATGTATATTTTAAGAGCTTATTCTAGAATTTTTGCATGTCACCATTTTATTTTCCTTTAGGAGATTAAATGAGGTCACGGCTTAATCAGCCTGCATTTAAACACAAATTAGTTTTTGGAACTTCAACTTGAAATCGCAGGTTTGCATCACACTGTTTTTCCTTTTTTTTTTTTTTTTAAACCACATTTATGTTCTTTTTGCTTCAAAGCTGAGCAGATGCACAGCGTGTCAAAGTAAATAAATTAATGCGGTCAATTCGCTGTTCAGTTAAGGTGCAAAGGGCCAGTGTGAGGTGTGCAGTGGATCATCTTTCACAAGCGACAATGTGCGCCAGGCAGATGCTGATTACAACACGTGAAACAGAGGAGCAACTTCCTGAACAAACAGCAGAGCATTTCTCCACCTTCCTTTACAAAAATAACTGAGCGCGCTTTGGTTTCCGTTTTTGTTCTCCTTGTCTGTTAAGAGATTTGAAGAAATGGTATGAAAATGCAGAGCCGGGACCTACAGAAACTATTCGAAGCACCTCACTCCAAGTAACCCCCAAATCTGTAGAAGACACGAAGCTCTCGCACACCTACCTCCCAGAGAGGACGTGAATCCTAGCTTTCGAAACTGGAGAAACAATAAAGATTATCGTGACTCTCATGAAGTACGAAAATTCCACTGAATTTGGCAATAAGGCAGCTAATGTCGGGGGCGACTACGCGGTGGTCAGGCGGAAGAGAAGAGACGACTATTCGAGCCGGCCCTGCGATCCTTTCCTGCTGCGGCCTCAGGGAACCACGTGCTCCCTGCTCGTCTGGGCGCTGCTCCCCCCGCCCCAACCCTCCCCCGTGTGGCGGTTTCATGAGCCCTGGGCCGGTCACTCCAACCTTTCCCTCCAGGGTCTCTGGCATTGGCCTGAACGCCTCCAGGGCAGGCTGTGATGGGAAACAGCAAGGGGCCCTCAGGGCTTCGACTTCTCTGAACTCGGGGAGCTCCTCAGGCAGGCTGACCTTTGTGCCTTTCCCTGGGAAGGCCAATTCATAAAAGGAAGCTAAAACGTGATGGTTTTCCTTCCCGTCCCAATTTACAATGAGAAATACGGATACGAAAGAAATCCAAGTGAAAACTAAGGGGAAACTAAGTCTTGCTCATCCAGAAGCTTCGGTTGAATCGCTAATGATTTTAGTCAGTGTGATTCTGTGCAAAATATCCTCGATAAGGCTCTGGCTCATTTTCAAAGTAAACAAACAAATAAAAAAAAAAAGAAAAGAAGAAAAGATAAAAAAAGACAATGATGCATGTTTAGAAAAAACTAAAACTGAGCCCATCATATGTATGCATCTCTTACATACACGTGCCATATGGAACAAAGCAAATGTAGTGTGTGAAGTGTGAAATTTGGGAAAGTATTGGTTATGGGATTTTTTACCCCCCATTTCCAAGCCTAGATCAAAGCAATCTTGTTTTGGAAATGGACGGCTGCAACGCAAATGAGCCTGAGATATGGTAAAAGGCCGCCCCTGTAAACATTTCCTCAAAGAGAACAGTAGCAGTGGAGTACGGGTCAGTTACTCATACTCTCTTCATCACTATCGCAATGCTTTGTAAAAGACAGCTTCTTTCTAGGCCGCCTCGGATTTACGGAATACTGATTTTGTTGGCAACAATCCACTGTAATCCGGTCCCAAGTTCAAATCCGCTGTGGCCTTTCCCCGTGGGCGTTCACTAGGTCTTCTGCTCCGCGGCTGTGGCGCTCTGAGCGGGAGCTTCCGGCTTCATGATCTGGTAGGTGATGAGATACTCAGGGTACGCCTGCAAAGGGCCAGAAGAGAAACGAGTCACTCCTGTGGCGGTCCAGTATTCAGCGGGCGTCTCAGAGGCTGCTGGTCCCCATCAGTGTTCTACACGCACCCCAGAGCCCACGAAGGCCGGCCTCGACAGGTGCCTGGACAACACACACACGCCAGACCGACCTACGTATTGCCTAGAAACGTGTCTAGACCGTATCATCTGGAGAACTGCCGTAGCGCGGTTTCCACTCTGAGCACCCTGAAACAGTGCGCTCACCCTTCATGCGCATGCCGTGGCCGGGAAAACTAAGGCCGGAGAAAGTCTCTCTCTTTTTCACCTCACTTGACACAGTGCTGTCACACAGCATATGTTTAATAAAAGTTTGGTGAAGGAAAGAGTAATTTGGCTGAACTGATTTCAAATTAATTACTCCCAAATATAATCCACTGAGCAAGAAGGAGGAAGGGTGAGGCCTGGTGAGTCACCAGTAACTCGGAACTGTTTGGAGATCATTTTTAAAAGGTGAGTAATAGGGGCGCCGGGGTGGCTCAATGGGTTAAGCCTCTGCCTTCGGCTCGGGTCATGATCTCCGGGTCCTGGGATCGAGTCCTGCATCGGGGGCTCTGCTCAGTGGGGAGCCTGCTTCCCCCTCTCTCTCTGCCTGCCTCTCTGCCTGCTTGTGATCTCTCTGTCAAATACATAAAATCTTTACAAAAAATAAAAATAAATAAATAAAAAGTGACTAATAAAAGGCAACATAATGGTTCAGACTGAGACTTGCCACCCCGCTTACTCTCTTTCTCTCTGGCCTCTTTTTCTTGAAGTATGTAAAATGAGAGGCTCTGTATCTGGAATGGAAAGACCGTTTCTTAGAGGAAATCACTACCAAGACAATTGGGTGGGGGGCAAAAAAAAGTCCCTTAAAACTATGTATGTTACGTAAGAATTCTTCAACCCTAAATATAATATAATGATACAACTAGAGGGAGCATTTCTTAGTGCTCTGTGGCTAGAAACTAGTATTCTTTGGTGACGTAAGTGCTTTAGGGCCCCAAAATAATTTGCTGAATGATGACTTACAAATTACTTGCTTACGGATATGGAGTAAGATAATAAAAAGAATAAAGGATCCAAAAAAACTGAGGGAAATTGGAAGGGGAGGTGAACCATGAGAGATTATGGACTCTGAAAAACAATCTGAGGGTTTTGAGGGGGTGGGGGGTGGGAGGTTGGGGAACCCAGGTGGTGGGTATTGGAGAGGGCACGGATGGCATGCAGCACTGGGTGTGGTGCAAAAATAATGAATACTGTTACACTGAAAAAATAAAAAATTAAAAAAAAAACTATTACTTATAAAAAAAAACTGGACTTTCAAAAAGATATGTGAACAACTATGTTCACTGCAGCATTATTTACAGTAGCCAGGACAGAAGCAACCTAAGTGTCCGTCGACAGAAAAATGGATAAAGAAGGTGTGAGGTGTATATATATACACAATGGAATATTACTCAGCCGTTAAAAAGAGATCTCGCCATTTGTGACAACGTGGATGGCCTAAAGGGTATATGCTAAGTGAAGTGAGTCAGACAGAAAAAGATAAATACCATAAAATTTAACTTATATTCTATAAAACAAAACTACAAAATACTAGTAAACCGAATCCAATGATACATTTAAAAAGTCATTCATCACCATCGAGTGGGAAGTACTCCTGGCTTACAAGGGTGGTTCAATATTTGCAGACCAACCAACATGATACATCACATCAGTCTCTTATAAAAAGAGTCTCTTATCGTATAAAAACCATACGATCATTTCAATAGATGTAGAACAATCATTTGACAAAGTACAACAGCCATTTATGATAAAAACTCTCAACAAAGTAGGTTTAGAGGGAACATACCTCAACACAGGTATGGCATAATAAGAATCCAATATGTGTAAGTTACTACAACAACATTATTATTATGATGATCCATTAAAGAGAAGTCCCTTCTGAGGGGGGCTCAGCAGGAATACAAAGGACAAAAGTGTAATTATACATTATAATTTTATGTTGGTATAATACTTTAATATAATACCTATCATTCATATTCCAATGTTCTCAGCTGATTTAATAATGTTTCTCTTCCAATACCAGATCCAACTGGGGGCAGGACCTTAAGTTAGTTGTCCTGTCTCTTGGGTTTCATTTAATCTGGAGAGTTTTTAAAGTCTTTCTCTGCCTTTTATCATATTGACGTTTCTGAAGAATCCAGTCTTCCCACCTTTTTTTTTTTTTTTAATAGAACATTCCTCACTTTGATTAGAACAAGGTTATACATTCTTGGCTGGAATGTTGCATAGACAATGGTGAACCCTTCTCAGAGTATCATATCTGAGGCACAATCTATTTCTATCTGTCCCTTATTGGTGATGTTATTTTTGATCATCTGGTCAAGGCACTGCTCCTTTTCTCCAATGTATAATTACTGTTTTCTTCTCCTTTGTAGTTAGTAAGACCATACAAATATCCTTTTATTTTTAATCAAAATTGTCTCCTAGATTAAGCATCCATTTATGATTCTTGTCACAATGGTCCCAAGATGATGATTTTCCAAATCCAGTATTCCCTCCACATCTACTCATCTCCCCTTGGCTTTCTACTACAAGCAAAAGCCTTCCTTGCCCCTTCATTTATCTATTTATCTATTTGTTATCACTACAGAATCATGGACTCCTTTTTTTTTTCTCAGAGGCTTAAAATTTATTACTATATTTATTTTGGTCATCAAAGTGTTCCAGATTTGGCCAGTGGGAGCCCTTCCTGCTGGCTCTGTGTCCTTGTGACATGCCCCCCCCCCCAACATTGAGTACTTCATTACTTCCAGGATGTTCCAGGCTCACCTTGCTCCTATTCTGCTCCAGCCCTGGAATTAGCTGTTTCTCTGAAGAGCCTGGGTTCCTTTTGGTGGGGAATGGTATTAGAGACCAAGATCTAGGTCTAGGTGTGCTCACTGCTTTTGGGGTCTCCTTGCTTTCAGGAGACAGTGCTAAGAAATATACGCATGTCTATGCTCATATGCATACACGTACCTACATATACTCCTACACATATCCCTGTACATACATATATTTATAAGTACACAAACATACATACCTGTATGAGAAAGGAGTTCCTATCAGTATCTCCAATTTCAGTCCATCTCTATAGTTATTCTCACCATCCCCCCATTATAGATTTGCATGCCCCTTCTTCTACCATGAGAATCCCAGCTTCCAAATCAAACATCAACATATTTACTCATTTGCTCAATCCTACAACACACCTAAAGTAGTTTCATTGCTTTGCCCATACCACCACCATCAACACATCTTGTAAACAAAGTTCAGGATTTCTGTGTCTTTCCTATGGCTACTCCACACCTTACCTGGCCAGGACTGATGACATATAATAAAATATTGTTTTTATACGTTACTTGTACTTAATTAATTCCTGCTTTCTCTCTCTCTCTCTCCCTCTTTTTCCCCCCCCAATTTTCCATCAGCATAGTTAAGCTATCCATTTGAAATTCAATTAAATTCAGACAAACTGATCTTTGTTTTTAGTCAAATCAACAGGCATTTAGCAGTACTGTGAGAGTTAAGGGATGGGCTGGAAAATGATAAGTTTTCCTGCTTGTTGACAATTTTACTTTAGGGCCTACACAGTAGGCAGAAACTGAATGCACTACAGCTTCACAACTTGGAAAGCTATTGTTCTGTGTTAAGTGCCACAGTCAGAAATACTGAGAGTCAACTCACATGACCAGCCTGTAGCAAGTATATCCATAAAGAAAATTCTTTAAATGGAAGCTGCTCTCTGCGCTGACATGTTCAGTAGCTCAGTTATGCTGATTTGATGGGTACCATACCTGCTCGCCTCTGTAGATGACATATTCGGCATATGCCAGCCCGTTCACACTTGGTCTCCCGATCACTGAGTGATGTCCTGGAGGCGCATGAGCCATTTTCATGGTGCTGAACTGCAGAAAGGATTTTCCAAGGGTCACCCTACAGAAAAGCATTTGCCTAAAGGAAAAAGGAAAGCAATGCTTTGAAGGAAGCATTAAATCTTAGAGTGACAGAACTCTTAGGTGTGATAATTTTCTAAAATAAATATTTAACACAAGGCAAGCTAACTTAAAATGTCACTTTCGCATTTGAGTAGGGATGGATGGGATGGAATTTGATATCCTGATTTACCATAAGCAGCAGACTCAATAGTTAAAGTAGGTTTGGTGTGGTTACAGAATCAATGACAGAAAATACCCGGCAAGTTCTGACTGGTCGAAAAAGGAATCCTAGCAAAAACGGAGCTCTTGTGAGGATGAACCAGGGCAGGGAGGGCAGGAGGACTGAAGCAAATACACAGAAGGCAGCACCATTTGAAATCAAGATCGGGTTTACTCATTATGAAGAAGTAAAAACCAGGATGAGATAAATAATAATAAAAGTGGATCATATGCCAAAATGCTTAGCTTAAATGTATGGCTGGAAATCATCCTACCTGGGTGAAACACCAATTAGGAAAGATGTTGACTATTACACAGGACAAGAGACGCTGATTGGAAAGAAAGTGCATTATATAAACTAACCCTAGTCTGCCACCTGTTTTTGTAAATAAAATTTTATTGGAATGCAGCCACACACTCATACACGTGTCCTCTGCGGCTGCTTCTACACTACGAGGGCTGAGGTTAGTCACTATGACAGGGATCATATGGCCTGCAAAGCCTAAAATATTAGGTAGCCCTTTAAAATCAAAGTTTGTAAGCCTTGAATATAAGTCACAAATGTTTTAACTACTCAGTGAGATTGATCATACTGTTAAATGTGTAAAATAGTTATTATTCAAATAGTTTGTTTTTAGTAATAGCGCATGATCTTTGCATTGTAACAAACCAGAGATACTATTCTGAGTCAAATCTTGCCAGACCCAGCGTAACTGGGTCCTGCCTGGGCGGGCTTTTCCAGCACAATATTCCTGATGACACTGCGGGGCGCTGGCCTCGTGTCAGCGACATTCTCTTGGAGGTCCCCATGGAAAAGGTTTTTTGGTTTTTTAAGAGAGAAAGAGAGAGAGAGAGAGAGCAAGAGCACGCACATGGAAGCAGGGAGAGAAGGAGGGGGAGCAGAGAACATCTTAAGCAGGCTCCGTGCAGACACGGGGTCAGAGACCATGACCTGAGCGGAAATGAAGAGTTGGATGCTGGACCCCCAGAGCCGCCCAGGCGCCCCAGCCCGATTGCGACAGAGGGAGGTGCCCAAGCTCCATCTCCACGTCATGGCAGCACGGTGGTGTCACTGGACTCTGCCCGCTCAGTCTGCTGGGCCCACTGCCATGGCTGCTCCATATACCACACAGACAGGCCCTCGCCTCCTGCCCCAGCCTCCGCCCCCATAGCTGCGGGGGCAGGAGAAGACGCAGGCCCGGCCCGTGAAGCCGCAGGCAGCAGACAGGCCGGTGGGGAGCACCGGCTCCAGTCCGCTCCCTGGCCAGCCCTGGGCGTCATGCTGCGTTCTGCAGACACAGCAGCCCCATGTTGGGGGACAGCAGTGCCCTGTGGGGCAAATGGTGATCCATGCCAGAGAGGAGCCGGCAGGTGAATTCAGCTCCGGCCTCCCACAGTGTACTAGAGTTCACACGGCCTCACTGAAGGTGATGGCTCATGGGCTGAGCCACAGACCACACTTGTTGTGAAACTGAAACAGGCCAAGGCACTGACGCATCTCCCTGTCTTCGCTCCGCCTCCTTCTCCGCTTTATTTCTCTCTGTGCCGTCACTCCTGCTTCTCCGGTATTGCGCTTGCCGAGAAAGTGCTAGCATATAAGCTTCTGCTTCAGGCTCTGCTTCCTAGGAAATCCTGACTAAGACATAAACTTATGTGTCTAATTGCAGTGGGCAACTGCTAATCTTCATCTAGGTTCACTTTTAGTGCTTGCTTAGGATAGGTTTGCAGCAACAAGAGTTTTGGCATGTCACACATCCATCGGAACTTTTGTGTGCGATTAACCAGAGGCCTTACTAGAGAGAAGGTTCCTTCTGGACATACTGCAACCATCCTAGAACTGCTGGTGGCTGTTAAAGATGTTCATAAAGGAACGGAGAAGAGGAAGTTTCAAGGTCAACAACTATAATGAATTTCAAGGCTATCTGGATCTTTTTGGGGTTTCCCCTGAGTTACAAGATCTCTAAGTAACCTTTCCATCTGGTTAATTTAAAGAAAAACACAATCAACTGCAATCTTTGTAATGTACAATTCTTTTGTGTTTTCTCCAGTGGCATGGAAGAGAATGGTATTTTTTTCACTGACTTCAGAGAGATTATAATATTATTCTCTTGAATTTGAGTTTTAAAATTCTATTTAAAAAGCTAACATTCATATGCTTACTATTCATCCAAAGTTAATATTCTGAAATTGAACTTTTCAAGGCAAATTATATATCCTGCCTTAAAGCACAGCTAGCAACATCAGAAACAGATTAAAGATTCAACTTGTTTACAGAAGTTGGGCATCTTAGCTTAAAAGTATCTAAAGCTAGAGGTTCTTCGAAAGAAATAATTCTCAATCTTTTCTTTTTCTGAATCTGAAGCAAGGCAAGGGAAGCCCAGGGAGAAAGTCAAGATGGAGGCAGTTTCATCCTAACCTGGGACTGGCTGACGCGTATCTGGCTTCTGCTAGCGCGGCTCATTAGCTCTGTGTCATTTCTCCTGTTAGGGCAGAGGCTGGTCAGCTATTTCTATTCAACCCCAAACCGGTGTGATTCACTCTGAGTAACAACACTGAGGATAAGTGACTTCTGTAGAACCTGAGGAACTACTGGGGCTCATGATCTGAGGACAGCAATCCCAAAGGCAAGACACTCACCTATGACATATGTAGCATGACCGATCTTTGTGTGTGGGGCAGCCTGTGCCTCCTCCAATCCCATACACATACTGGTTGCTTTTGGAGGAGTTTTCAGCAAAATAAATCCCGGCACCAAACATTCCTCCTATGTACGCATGTCGCTCATCAAACCCTTTATGAATAATGGCATTAATGAAAGGAGAACCTAAAAACAGAAACACAGAAAGATCAGTGTTTTTGAATACTTCTCTAGAACCTCAATTAGCTACAAACTATGTGCACTTGGCAGGTTAATATTAAGTTATCAATAATGTGTATATGAACTTGTAAGATGGTCTACCATACCTAAATTATTTCTCATACTGGAATCTTAGCAGGGACCCAGTGTTTGCCAAGCAAGGATATAATGTGGCTTTTGTGGATGGCATGAGATTTTTAGATAGTGAAGTACAGGGGCGCCTGGGTGGTCATGACCTCAGGGTTGTGAGACTGAGCCCTACGTCAGGCTACGTGCTGGGCATAGAGTCTTCTTAAGATTCCTTCTCTCCCTTTGCTCCTCCACCCCCCCCCCAAAAAAGATGGCAAAGTCCCTGTGGCTTTAAAAATATAGATTTTATGCCCAATCTTACTTTACACAAAAACAGATAATCTGATAAACTGAAAACAATTATGCTAAACTGTAATGAAAATATTTCACTATCTAGATGGCTCAACTTGCAGTACAAGTTCTGAAACCATTCCAGATAAGTTATTCTCATTCTACACACCCTGGAAAGCCTGTCCTAACAAGCAATGTGTTAGCAAACTGTACTGACACATAATTAAAAAAAAAAATCAAAACCAGCCATTTTCAGCACAACACTAATGCAGTCAATAACATAGGCTTTCCACTTTATTGGAATTAGCAAAAGCCCAAGAGATAGAGACAGGCGCGCCGCTCACCATGAAATAACATGCGCTCGTTGTGGTGGTTGTGATTCTCCTCAGACACCTCCTTCTGTCTGTGACAGAATCGTTCCCTCAACTTCTTGTTGACAACTTTCTGAATCTTTAAGGATGAGGGAGAAAGAAGCAAATTAGTGAAATGGATGTTAGTTGGCAGTTTATAATTTAAAATGAAAAGTATGTTTTCTTTGAGAAAGGTTCAATTCTTGGTTTTTGTTTCATTTGCTTAAAACATTATTTAAAAAGGATAAAGTTGCCAGGGCAGTGTAACTAAGTTAACATTCTGGCTGTTAGTGACAAAATCTTCAGGTACGGCTTTGGTTATTTCTGCACTAGACCTGGTTGTACCTCAGAATCACCTGAGGAGTTAAAGAAAAGAAAAGCTATTCCGAGACTCCTCCCAGACTTGTTGAATGTTGGGATACAGGGGCCTGTAAATCTGCATTCTTCTAGAAGCTCTCTAAAAACTCTCCAGGGAATTCTGAGGGGCACTGGTATAACTTCCAAGGATGTAGTCAGTTCTCAACAGGTTTTATGTAGCTTTATGATGCTCCTTTGAAAAAAGCACATCTATCCCATGTTATAAATTAAGATACTGAAATTAAGAGATACATGCATTCTGATATAATCACTGACTCAGATTGAAAACCAGGCCTTCAAAGCTACTCGGAAGTGGTGATAAAAACTCTGTCAGCTCTGGTCTAAATCTGTGGGCAAGCTGAGTCTCATCACTGTATCTGTACCACCAACCCCAAGAGATCTAGCCTTCCGTCTGTAGCTTTCCTGTTTCCATCCAGTCTCTGTTTCTGGTGAAATACAGTCTTGAGGGATTAGTGGAAAGTGACACCTGACTGCCAGGCAACAGATGGCTGATTATCTCGACAGTTTAAAAATAGGACATTTAAAAAAAACTTTTCATTGTCTAGATTTGATTTTCAGATATGCCCTGCAATCCAATTTTCACCCTGAAATTTTAAAGACTTACTCGAATGACATTGTATCTGTTGAAGATACCACCGGCATTGCCACCATCTCTGTGTTCTCGGATTGTACTTTGCATCTACAGAACAAAATAACAGAACTTTCTGGGAATATGCCAGTATATAATTCTGAAGACATTCCTCTGTTTTCAACATTCACTTCTGTTATACTTTTTTACTGATGAGTCTCAGACTCAGGGCTAATAAATAAATAGGAGTTGACTATAAATGATTCACCAGAGTTTAATGGGTAAGTATTTCTGATGAGAAAGTAGTCATGACATAAATATTAAACTTCTGCATTTTCTCTTTAATTTTTAGTAAAAGCTTTGGAAGAGTTTCCTGTAAGCACAATGGGGAACACAGAAATAAAACATCACATTAAGTTATCTACATTACTATTTTATGTTACTGAGAATGAGAAGCAACACTGGGATTAAGTCAAACTTAAACTCACATTTGATGAATACCGACTAAACAAATGCTCAAATAAACACAAAGAATTTTAAAAATTTAATCAACTTCTGTTCCCTGGGTGAAACAGACCATATTATCAATTTGGGATCTCAAAGAACATCTCCGTGACCAGGAGAAGCTGGGTATGCCGGGTAACTAAGTAGAGTAACTTCCCTCTGAGTGGTACTCTTTCTTCGTCCGCTCTCCAAATTCAAAAGGATTATGGAAAAGTAAAATGTTCTAAAGACCCAAGTTTCTCATAGAACTGACTCAAAAGAGTTATCTTACTGCTCTGTTTGCAAAGTTATTCATCACATTTTGGACATTATTCTCCAAATCTGCTAACCACTAACAGGGTGATTAGGCAGGAGGCCCCTGGAAGGTGCTACACTTCCCTGACAGACTGGCCAGGCCTGAGCCGAAAACCCACCCTACGGTAACAGAGCCAGACTTCCCAGCATGAGAATAATTTGAGCTCTAGTTAAAAGGCAGAAAATAAACAAAAAGACTTAGGCATGCATTTCTCTGCAAAATAATAGATTTAGTTAGGTGGCTTATTTATTGTGATAAAGACATTAGGCACTTTGTTTATTATGTGTAAGAAATGAGGGGGAAGCCAGAGTAGGGAGGGAATTTCTGCGGTGTCTGTCTGGCAGGAGGGGTCGTCCATATAGTGCTTTAACACAGTGACTGAAGTTGGTAAAGGCGACTGAGTTATGAGGCAGATTTCATATGCGAACAGGAAAAGTAGGTGTATTATTTTATCGTCACATTTTATAACTTTGCGTGAAAATAAAAACAAGAAGGTATTTGCTATATGTGAGGCAAGATTCTCACTTCCTATCATTCTTCTAGTAGCATTTGAACAACACAAGCAAATAGTTCTAAAAGGGTTCCTACTTGCCTGATTTCAAGAAAGTCTCTGGGACGAAGAGACCCTTGTGGCCCGTCCACTGAACCCTAGGCTTTTGATGGGAAAACCCTGTGGTAGAACGCTAATCCACGGTCCTTGCTGAGTTTGGGCAGTACACCACCACAATGGCTAAGGCAGTTAGGATGACAGAGAGGCGAGTGATCCTAAGTCACTGTCAGACAAGCTTACCTCTACTGAAAAAATAGGCCTAACCACAGATTTCAGGAAAAGAGAATTAAAAATGTTGATGTACATTACCTCTTCTTCTACTGACTGATATTCCTTATCTTCTGGAGCAAGATCCAGCAAAATAGTTCCCTGATTAACACAGTGAAACGTCAAATAAGGATTGGTGCCTATAGGAAAGAAAAATTAATGAATTAAAGTTCACGCTATTCAGGCTCAATTTTAGGGACAACTTTGTCATAAATAATGATATTTTAGAAGAAATTTAAATTATTTGCAATGTGACCTTCGTATATAAGGTTCTATTGAACAAATACATCCAAAGCAAGAGAAGTAATGGAGAGGGGATTGGGGATCAATTTGATCTGTTTTACAGAGTTCCCCAGCATGGCTCAACAATTTCTTATTGAGCAGAATTCTATTATAAACACACATGCAGCTACGTCTGATACAAAAGAGAAATACATTGTAATCACAATGCAGTCAGGTCTAAAATCTAAGAATTATCCTGTAAAAACTCTGTGAGATGGCTTGAAATGGCCACTCATAATTCAAGTCTAAAACAGATTAGATTCTTATTAAACAGAAACAGATTCTTATTAATTTCATTGCCTTTGTTAATTTAATGCAGACAAATAAGCAAGACTTAAACTCAAAAACTGCTACCATTTAGTTTCATGTTACTCTTATGACTTTGTTGGCTCTGCAGTGACTAAATCAAGTTTTTCCCCTTCTCTCCCTTTGCTTTCCTATTGTGAAAGCACTTATGGCGAACACAGAGATGATAAACGTGCAGGCCGACAAGGTGGGGGGAGATAGGAGGTTTGTAACAGCACAGTACAGTGGAAAAAAGCCTGAGTTTCCAGTTGTGGCAGGGGACAAAGGTTCAGGATGAGGTCAGAGGAAGAGGTCAGATTATGAAAAGCCATGTTACAAATGTCTGATTTTATCCCCAAAGCAACAGGATTCTATTGAAAGGTGTTAAGCAATGCACTGATATGATCATAGGGTCATTTCGAAAAGAGTCTTCTGGGAGCAGTGCAGCCAGGCATGGGGGTTGGAGGGTGGCAAAGGTGAGGCTCCAAGATAAGCTGGAAGGCGGTTGTGACAGTCAAAGGGAGAGATGACAGTGGCTTGGATTAGGTGACCTGTACTGGATTCAACAGCAGTGGGAAAGGAGAGAAGTGAAGATTCCAGAGAGACTCAGCATATACAGTGTTGGTGGGGAGAGGGGGCAGGAAGGAGGTGCTACACCCTCCAAGCGTATGAGCTCTGGGTTCAGACCACTTGAGCCCTAACAACTTACTTATCCTGCTAATTTCTGAGACTTACTCTTTTTCCCCAAATAACTTACCTTGTTGTCCACCTAATAGTCTTTCTACTCCTTTGATTAATTTATGGCGGTGTCCATATGCATTGATGCCTATTTCTTTCAACTCCTCATGGCCCATATCAGCCAGTACATCTAGTGTAATCTGAAAAAATGGAACAAAATTAATCGCTAAATCTTTAACAGTGGCTCAGTTCTTCCATGAATCTTCCATGCTATAATAACCCATCCAAACTGACAAATTCTTTTGTCTTCTTTAACTGTGAACTTAAAATCTTAAAGTTGTCTTGATAATTTTATCAGCTTTTTACTCACTTGAAATATTCCTTCCTTCTAGTCAATGGTGAATTATAATGGCAGAAACAATGCTATTGAGATATAGAATGAACACTGCTGTATTTCCTTTTGATTATTTAACTCTACCACTTTGTGCCTGCCTCAAGATATAAGAGAAAACAACCAGAAGCTTGAAAACAGGGAAATACCAGATCTCTGGATCCATCAGGCAGCATAGAAAAATGGTGGGGGAAAGGGAGAAGGGCTTAGCACAAGGAAAGAGAATGTGACAAAAGGAGGAAGCAGTTTTAGCTAAGTAGGATTTATATAAAGATAAAGAACTCTCCAGTGCTGAGAAATAGTCAAGCACGGAAAAGGCTGCCTTTGAAAGCGGTGAGATTTAGAACACGAGTATACAGTTATACGGAAGTTATATAAAAAATACCAGTTCAGAAGGGAGAGTAGATGGTTTTTAAGTCCTCTTATAAATCCCAGACTTAACAGTCCCTGAAGCCTTACATACATTCTGTTGTTGTAAAAACAGTGGTTTATAATTTCTGCTTATTCATCCCTGCAAATGGAGGTGGTTAGCTGGTGGCTGACTACCAGGACTCAAAAATCACCCAGCGCCTTTGTTGACTAAAAGTACCTGTGACTCTACTGCCACCCAGTGGCAGAGTTCGGGATGCACAGGACGGAATCTGGGGCCTCCACATTTCTGGAGGGCTGAAACATGAAATCTAGCTCAGAAGAAGCTGGCCCTGTGACAATGCAAATACTACTTTACAAGATGAGCCTTTAGTTTTCTCTTTCCTCGGAAAACTGAGAAATCCTTTCATAGACACCCTTTTTCCAACTCAAATATGTTTTATCTATCTGTAGTGTTCTCTACCTTTTTACTTGAATATTACATTAAAAAACAAAACAAAACAAAACAAAAAACCCTGGCAAATTAGGCCTGGAGTTCGCTGATTTTTATTGCCAGAATGAAATATTATATAATGAGTCTGATCTTCTCGGTGCAGCAAGTATACATCACTCACTCTTTGGGAATCATTTACTATAGTGCTCCTAAGTGGCCATTTAAGAAATAATCGCTCCATTGTACAAAACGGGCAATTCGCTTCCAATCACCAAAAGGAAATTTTGAGCAGAGCTTTTAAAAAACAACAGTTCTGAGATATACATCTTTGAGACAGAATAATTCACAACATAATAGGAGCCTGTATATTTTTAGCTAGACATAATCTAATATACTTTGGAAGCCGGGCACAGGGTTTCCTACATTAACGATGTCCCCGTTTTTCCTTCTAAACTTTGGTTCAAATAAGGTTGACGGAAAAACAGGATCTCATATCGATGTGGTAGCTTCAATTCAAAGAAACCTTAAACTTTTCTGAATCTGGACATAAAGTGTATATCTGGAAAAATCAGAAACCAGGCCAAAGGACAGCATCCTCTCTGTAAAGTTCTAGAAAAGAAACGGAGACTGTTTAATGTATCTGACAATTCAGCTCCACTCACAGAATGAATAGCTCCCCGACTCCTCACGACCACCCTGAAGTTACTAAGGACATCCTCATGGGGAACTGAGGCTCAAAGCAATCCTAAACGCAGTACACAGGAGAGCTGAGATGGATCGCCAGATCTCTCTTGCCCTTGCTTATATTTCTTAAAGGGCTGACTAGAAAGCTAAAATAACTAAACATTACATTTAGCTGCTGTGAATCCATGGTGCCCAATTTGTCCCCATATTTAACAGGCAGTGGCCACTGGAAAACCTTAAATGATGAGCTTAGGAATTCAGATTACTGTTCATTTGTTCATTCATTCCTATACAGTAGATTTAATGAACACCTTCTAGATGCTAGGTATTTTCCCCAAAAAGTAACTTATCAAACATTTCATTTAATTCAAAAACTATCCACTACAGTTCAGAAAGGAAAATAACTAGTCCAAATTGGTAGTAAAAGAGCAGGGCCGGGAATCAAACAAGGTACTACCACAGAAGTTTATGTTATTTCTTCTGACAAGATTAAAAAGTAAACACAATAATGTGGTAAAGGTTGGTAAATGTTTTGGAGCAATCCCTATGGAAACTCTTAGGAAGGTTCCTACTTGGTCAAGGTCGTAGGTAGGGCTGGGAAAGATGGAAGGAACAGGAGGGGGTTCAGGATAGGTTCTTACGAGAAGGTAACAACTTGGCTAAGAAGCAGAAGCTCATCAGGCAGAGGAAGGAGGAAAGGGTGTTTAAGACAAAGGGAACAGCACGTGCAAAAGGAAAATCCAGTAAGGGACTACAGAACATTGGAAGACTCTCAGCACCAAAGTCCAAAAGGGTAAGAGTATAAGATATAGAGAGGAAAGAAGAAGGGATGGACAGAGCAGCAGGCTAGGAGCAGATCTTAATGCGCTTTATCTATCAAGTTAAGATGGTATCCAAACACTCCTAGGGAGCCTTTTCAGCAGAGTAACACGATCAAAGTTATATTTGAGGAGGAGAATGGCAACACTCTGAAGCGCAGGTTTGGAAGAGAAAGGACTGTGTGAACGAGGTAATGGAGAGGGTTGAAGGGAAAAATCAGAGAGCAATTTCAAAATGAGAGAATACAGGGCCTGGTAAGTATAAATGGTTAAGAAAAAGAAAAAAAGGAATGGGAGTAGAGATTATTCCAGAAGTCTGAAAACTCGTGAATATGAGATTATTGTATCAAAAAAAGAAATGGAAATATCTGGAAGCAGGTTAGATGGATTTTGGATATGCTGCTCCACGATTTAGGCATTTTATACTATTAAAAATAGTTTTTTTTGGGAAAATCATCTTTAATTCGCTTAAACAATAAGTTATCTCCAGGAAATTACAAGTTTCTTAGGCTAGGCATTTATACCTAGCACACATTAAAATCAAATTGATCAAACCTATCAGACTGGCTGGAATCAAAAAGAAAAAAATAACAAGTATTCGGGAGGAGGTGGAGAAAGGGGAACACTTGTGCTCTGTTGGTGGGAATGTACACTGGTGCGGCCACTGTGGAAAACAGTGTGGAGGGGCCTCCAAAAGTTAAAAACAGAACTAGCATAAGATCTGACAATTCCACTTCTGCATATTTATTTGAGGAAAACAAAAACACCAATTCGGAGAGCTATATGTGCCCCTATGTTCACTGTGACATTATTCACAATAGCTAAGATAAGGAAGTAACCCAGGTAGATGAATGGATATAGATGTACTGTGTGTGTGTGTGTGTGTGTGTGTGTGTGTGTGTGTGTATACATACATATACATATATATACACATATACACATATATATACACACACACAGTAAAATATTTTAAAAATATTTAAATATTTAAAATATAAATAAAATAAAATAAAATAATATTTAAATATTTAAAAAAGAACGAAATCTTGCCATTCATGACCACACGGATAGACCTAGAGTGTATACGCAAAGTAAGTCAGATGGAGAAGGACAAGTAACAGTAGGATTTCACTTCTACATTGAATCTAAAACAGAAAAGAGAAACAGACTCATAGATAAAGGAAACAAACTTGGTTACCAGAGGAGGTAGGAGTTGAGGGGTTGGGCAAATAGGTGAAGATGGTAAAGGGGTGCAAACTCCCCCTTACAATATAAGTAAGTCATGGGGATGGAATGTACAGCATAGGGAACATAGTACTATCAATGACTCTGTATGGTTACAGATGTAACTAGGCTTATTGTGGGGATAATTTCATAATGCACAAAAATATCAAATCACTATGATGTACTTCTGAAACTAATAAATAGTGTAGGTCAATTCTACTTCAATTAAAAAAAAAACCCAAATTATAATCTTTAAAATAAGGATTGTTTATGTATCAGCCAAATCACCTCACATAAAAAGCAAATGTCCCTTGAAAAAGGGTTGCCTCTTGTTTCTAAGATTTGTTCATTTTCTTTGGGGTAGAGAGAGAAAAAGTAGAATTTTAATGGGGAGAGAAAAATCAAGAGTCTAAATGCACAAGCTCCTTCCTTTCACTTGGGCTTCAAAAAGATGCAGGCCAGAGTAAGAGTTGTTAGAGCTAATTTTATAATCACATTCACAGTTAACGTACCCAAGACCCTTCCTTGGTCTTTTGATTTTGAAATAAAAATTTATAAAGGTCACTTTTTATGAAAATATAGGAGTTGCCCATAAATATGTCCAAAAAAGCTTTCTAAGTCATAGTCATAGCATTTATGCTTAGGAATTGCAGTGAAAATCAAATCAGCCTTTCCCAGAGAAAAAGTGTTCTAACCAGGAAGCTATGTTATAAAGGAAGGGCCAGAGGGACACTGGTACAGTATTTACAACGATAAAGGACACGAGTGCGTATTACTTGGTGAAGTTTGCATGTTCGAGTAAGTCAAGTTAGTTAAGAGACTTCTGAGAGAATAACTGTGAAGGGATGAGGTTGTGATGCCCTGAAGGATGTTTCCCTGAGACCAGAAGTAAAATAATTATATCCCCACTCCACTGCAGGTAAGCATCCTTGAATAGAACCAGAAGCACAAAGATCTTGTGTGTCAAAACGATTCAGGACATAGAACCACTCCCTGGATTAACAGAAATAGACAAGAATTAAATGAGTACAGGGTATATGCCCACTCCTTCCCTCACTACCCAAATATCTTGACCATCAGCAATCACATACTTACAGCCTGATATAGAAATGTTAATGGGAGAAAATTCTGCAGGTAAATTTTAGAAAGGGTTACAGAATTTAGTATTCTTTAACTAAAGGCTACTCAAGGAACACTTGCTGTCAAAGTAAAAGTTATTTTGATTGCCTGATGCTTGGGCCAGAAGATAGTCAGACACAGTTCAATAGAAAGAACGGTAGTATCATTTGTCTGGAGGAAAGGAGCTGTGCTGGGCAATATACATTAAGTGGAACAGTCAACATATTAATAAAAAAGGATACAGAAATTATTCCTGCAACAAGAAAATCGATGGAGCCATTTCTCAGAACAAAAGTACAGTGTGAAAGAGAGCAATAAAACTGATGAAACAGGAGAAGCTGTCAAAAGCCCCAACCGAGAGACTAAACGATTAAACTATTACAATCAATAGAATGAGATATCCATGTCACAGGAAATCAGTTACTGAGAGAATAAAGTAAAAGAGAAAAAAATAAAACACAAAATTATGCAGCAAACAAATTGAAAGGGGAGAAACGGAAATCCTTTGAAAAATGTTCAACAGTCGATTGGAGTTATTTGTGTCAACTAGGGTCTTTGGTTTATTAAGCAAAGATGTGTGAAATTTCAGTTCCTGTGGATCTGATTTGGGAAGAAGGGATCTATTAAGGGATATCCTTTGGCTTTAGCAGGAGATAATGCTTTCACAAGAGCTTTCATACCTCCAGGGAGGGAATAAGGCAAAAGCATTCTTACTGTTTAGGACAGTCTCATAAGAAATCTCCAGGGTGCCTGGGGGGCTTAGTAGGTTAAGAGTCTGCCTTTGGCTCAGGTCATGATCCTGGGGTCCTGGGACTGAGCCCCGAATCGGGCTCCCTGCTCAGCAGGGAGTTTGCTTCTCCTTCTGCCCCTCCCTCCTGCCGGTGATCTCTCTCTCAAATAAATAAAAAAATCCTAAAAGAAAGCATCTCCAAACCAGAGGGTAAATCAATGGGAGGTGAAGCTCAAGGAAGAGTGAATTATTAGGGAAGTCTATCAAGTCCTCACCACCAGACAAAGACACATCTGACGGGTCGTTAAAGCATATTTTAAAAACTGGCACAGGAGCACGGCAGGACCAGGAATTTTAACTATCTGGACAGTTGAAGGTGTTATAATTTACAGTCAAGGGAAGTGACAAGCTAAATGCCTTACCCAATGTTACACAGCTAATAAGAGAAAATAATCAGAATCAAGGTCTTTTAGGCCAGTGCTATTTCCGCTCTGCTGTTTTGATCAATAAGAGCATAACTGGAATAAGCAATATACGAAAATTTAGCTAAAGAAAAAAAGACATTAGATAATCTTAACAGTATAACTGCTATGAAAAAGAACTGGTGTTTTTAATTAGCTCCAAATTGACTATAAGCCTATGAAGAAACCATAAACGGGGCAAAGAGGCCAGTGAGGAATTTGGAAGCACTATCCACAGAGAGAAGAAGTGAAAAATAAAAAGGGTTTATTTAGGGGCGCCTGGGTGGCTCAGTGGGTTAAAGCCTCTGCCTTCGGCTCAGGTCATGATCTCAGGGTCCTGGGATCGAGCCCCGCATCGGGCTCTCTGCTCAGCAGGGAGCCTGCTTCCCTTCCTCTCTCTCTCTGCCTACTTGTGATTTCTATCTGTCAAATAAATAAATAAAATCTTTAAAAAAAAAAAAAGGGTTTATTTATCTTAAAACAGGAGAAACTCTGTAGGAGAGGGTGGTTGGAAGGGTAAGTCCATGCTAAGCTGACTGGGTCCTAGGAAGAGATGAAGGGCTGTCCTGTGTTGTGGTGAGCTGAATGGTGGCCCTCAGAAAGATGTATCCATGTTTTAATCCCCAGAATTTATGAAGGACCTATCTGGAAAACTTTGCACATGGGACTAAGTGAAGGATCTTGAAATGGGGAAAGCACCTAGTATTTCACGGGTAGGCCTTAAATCCAACGCAAGTATTCTTCTAAGACACAGACGCGCAGGCACAGAGAAGGCAAGGTGACAATGGAAGCAGAGGTTGCAGTCATGTGGCTGTAAGCCAAAGGGGCAAGGAACCTGGCAGAGGCATGAGAGGGCAGACCTGCCAAAAACTCGATTTTGAACTTCAGGCTTCCAGAACTGTGGGGGAATAAAGCCACCAAGTTTGGGCTAATTTGTTGTAACAGCCCTATGAAATGAGTACATGAGCAGACTAGATATTAGATTTCTGTGCCAAATAGGGTAAATGTAAACATAAAATTAGTAGATTATACACGGGGGCAGATTGGGGCACACATTAAATTACAAGCCCTTTATTACACCTGCCCAAAGTGTAACAATTTATCTTCCCACATGGATGTTAAAAGAGTAGGATCTGGGAAAATAACTAAATACCTTTCTCATTTTAAGATTCTATATAAAGTAGTAACAGGCGATTTAAAATCAGCAAGTTATTATTATTCAATATTGAATACTGACTGTGGTAATAAAATCATACAGTAAGAAATTAAAAAGTCATTATCGTGTATAAAAATAGAGTGACAAACAGAAGGGTCTTAATTCATAAATGCTGTAATGGTGACTTCATACTCAGAGCATCATACACATTTAAGATGAATGTGAAAATAGGACAGGTCTGAGAGTATATGGCGAAGTTTTGGTTCAGCATTATTTTAGACTCATCTAGACAACAGAAACTTCATAAAGAGGCAATTTGCAAAAGGTACACTTGTCCAGGAATTACTTTGCTTTCCAAATTTAACAGATGATTGCTTTGTGAAGATTCTGCTAAACAGCTAATATAAAAATGTGTCATTGGTTTTAAGCAGAGTTTATTCACGTATATTGAGACACACTTTGTGGAAACAAAATAATGAAAGAAGATTTTGAAACATTCTCTTGAGGTGGTTTCATGGCCTAAGTTTATGTAACAAAACATGGGTAGTCAAACCGCTTATAAAGATATAATGAAGTAACGGTTAATGACTCGCATCATCTGTTAAACAATTTTGGGGAGAATTATAAAATCCTGAATTCCCCTGGCTTCTTTGGAGTTTGGTATGAGTTTTACAGTTAAGAAGTAAACAGAAACCAAGAATGGCAATTAATAGCTCTTAATATTTCATTAAAAAGACGCAGCAAAAAGGAGAGCTTACCTGTTCTGTTTCAAAGATGTCCCGAAGGTGCTCAAGACCAAGGCTTTTTAGGAACTGGCTGATATTCATGTCAAGACCCGCAACTAAAACAGACATACATTAAAGTTTTCAGAAAGCAGTTATCAATCTAAAGGAAGTGATAGTATTTACTTAAAGCCATGGCTCTCTGACACCCTTGGCCAAATAGATGATTTTATGGAGCATAAAAATCATCCAGAATACATCTATTTAATTCAGTCACTTCAGGTTATCTCTGAACTTGGTGGAGAAGTAAAAGCAGAGTTTATCTTATCGGTAGCATTTATATTAACTATAATATTATAAAGTTTAATCTAATGCTTTTAGTGACATATTTAACAGCTTGGAATTAAAAATTGAATTTACCAGTTATGATTTCTTTCCATTCCTTAAATGATCTCTGTTTTTTTCTGATATAATTTCAGTAATAAGACTCACTCAGTAGTTAAATACAATGTAATGGTTAGAAATGGATATATTGGAATATACATAAGAACAATATAGATGTCAAGGTATTTATTCTATGAAGATAGTTCTTATAAACTGGTGTGTATGTGAAAACTTACGGACAGGATGTCTTTAAGACAGGCGTTCCATAATTACTAAGAGAAGTAAGTGAAATCTGTTCATTTAAAAAAATAAAAACGAGGGGCTCAGCTGGTTGAACTCTTGATTTCAATTCAGGTCATAATCTCAGGGTCTTAGGATCGGGCTCTGCACTGGGCATGGAGCCTGCTTAGGATTCTCTCTCTCCCTCTCCCTCTACCCCTTCCCCCACCCTCTCCCACCCAACCTGCACCTCCCCCAGGCTACTCTCTCTTTAAAAAAACAAAACAAAAAACGCCCCCATCAAAAACCAAATAAGCATTCACGAGTATACTCGCCTTCTCCTTCCTTCCTTTCTGCGCCTGCTGCCCCGTCCCCTGTGTTGGACGGTCCTCCTACTGCCAGTTCCGCCAAAGGGCCGGTGAGGTTATCGATGCTGCTAGCAGCAGACAGGCAGGAGGGGGTGGATGCTGGTGAGATCAGAGAGGCACTCACTACGGTGGCCTGAGGTTTAAAACAGGTAGGCAGGGCCTCCGGGGGCATGGCATCTATCAGCAAAGCTCTTATGTCATCGGCCTAAAAATAATAAGACAAATAAACACACACAAAAATACATTTTAAAATGGTAAAATTTTCCACTAAGGGCCAAATGCTTCTTGAAATTTGTCTTGAGCGAGTGCTTCATTATTGCCCACTGGCTTTTGATCGCTCCTTCCCGGACCTGCAACTCCAGAGAGGCCCAGCAGTTTCTGTAGGTGTCAGAACTCGAGTCCCTGTATCGTTTTTAAAAATATCTCATCTTCAGAAGATCTAATGTACACCCTGACTTTAGTTAATACTACTGTATTCTATAGCTGGAATTTGCTGAGAACAGATTTTCAGCAAAAATCTGTGTTCTTGCCACACACGCATTCACGTATATCAAAGTCAACCATGGAGGAGACATCTGAGAATGTAGACTATACTGATTTCTGGAAACGTTTTTTAAACACTGAGTGAAACGTGCAGACACAGTTGTCCATACTTATGACACATGTATTCAAAGTGTAAGTTAATAAAGATGGGAATGAGTTTAAAAAAGTTTCCTGTCCCGTTAAAAAACAGCCTGCTGCAGTACTGACGCAGTCTCTCCTGCAGTTCTCATATTTACATGAGGTTTGCAGACGCCTCAATACGGACAATGACTTTTCCTCAGTTATTTAGTGCATGCTTAATAATTAAATGTCCAGTTATAATCTGGAAATGTTAGAAGGCCACGGCCTTAGTCTGGCTGGCTTATTCACACCGTCACAGCCCGCTAGGCCCAAGTGCTGTGAGACGACGTGGGAGTCTCCGAAGACAGCAGGCCGTTAACTCCCTCCTCTGCGTGCATGCACGCCACTCTTCCCATCCAGAGGTGGCATCTGTCTCCCTCCCCTTAGATCCGGGCAGCCCTGCGAGTTGCAGTGACCCACAGAACATAGATGGGGTGATGTTCGAGGCTTTTAAGGCCAGCTTTAAAATGACCAGTAGCTTCTATTCTTCTCTCAGAGGCGTCGTCTCCATGCTCTAAAGAAGTCCAGGTCAACTACAGAGGGAAGGGGGGCTCCGTGGAGAGACGCCCTGGAGGATGAAGGGCGGGCCTAGACCTCGCAGCCTCGGCTGAGCTCCCAGCTGGAGGGAGGTGTACGCACCGCAGAACTGGGTCGCGGAGCCATGGAACCCACGGAACCGGGGGCAACAGTCAGTCACTGTGGGAAGCCACTGACTTGGGTTTCGGTTAAGCTACTGAGTGTTCTGAAGTGGTCTGTTACTCAGCAATAGATGTGTGAGACAGAATGTGGCCTGGGAAGGTATTTCTGGTTAAAATATGATAAATTATTGTGCATATCAATTTACTTTTCCATCTTCAAAGGCATAGTATACGGCCTAGAGGGTAAATTTTCTTTGACTATCTCACAGCCTCAGGTACATTATCATAAACATCGGCTGCTCCTGAACAATATGCCAAATGTAGAAGGTCTAAGATACTTCACTCGTAATTCTCTGAGGATACATTCTAGATACGTGTTGTTTTCCCATGCAAGTTAAGCATGGCAGAAAGAATGAAGTTAAGGCACTGCTTAGTTGGCCTTAACAGAGTTTTGAATTATCTAATATGCAAATAAAAAAAATGTCAGAAGGAAGGAAATTTGTTCTTACCGCTCAAGGTAAACCTGCTCAGCCCTGAAATTTAATGTCGTCTCGGAGAGCACAAATTTAAAGCAATACTAAATAATCCAGAATGAAGACTTACTGTTGCCAGATCTAAAGGTGTCTGACCTTCTTGGTTCTTCATAGTGGGATCCGCACCATGGGCCAGAAGTAGGGCACATAACTGGGTCCTTCCTTTCTGGGCTGCTTCATGAAGAGGAGTAAATGCCCACTTATCTGTGGCATTTACACACGTGTTGTATTTTATCAATAATGCTGCTATATCCACATGCTGAGAAAAAAACAGAGGATGCAAAAGATCAAGAATGAGATTATCTGGTCAAGCTCCATCGGGTTTGCTTGCTGTGTTTAACACTTCCTTCCCTCTTCTCATTCTCTCTTCTCATCCTTAATATACGTTTCTTCTATTAAAAAAAAACATACTTATCCCACTCCTATATATTGGACCCCATCTTTTCTTGCCTCCAAAATCTCCATTCTGCAGTCATTACTATTTTACCCTGTGATTCTTCATACGTGCTTATAAAATTTTTTATTTGGCCTTCTACCATATTCAGGTCTATCTTAAAAATGAACACATAAAATGAAAGTATGACCTGACTCCAAGCCTCCTCTCAAAGGTCTAGACTGCCTGAAACTTTTGAAACAGGTGTTCTTGTTTGCTTCTCTGATCTTCCTATTTCTCTTCTAACCCACTCCAATCTGATCTATTTATTGAAACATTTGTCTCAAAGATTCTCACTGTTTTCTCTTCAGCTCTTGGGGAAGTAATATAACATAACAAAACAGCACTGTACAAAACTGAGTCTGCAATGTTCAAAATGACTTGCGGGTGGGGGAAATGTTAGCAGCAGATACATTAAAAGCTGGGTGTGATGTGATGAGATGCTGAACCATGATGGCCAGAGAAGAATGGAAAAGAAGAGCTAAAATTGAGAAATTGGAAAAAAAGGAAAGAAAAAAAGGAAAAAGGAAAGAAAAAGGAAAAAAAACCTGGATTTTAGAAAGACAGATTAACTGCAAAGAACGAAAGAGACAGAAAAGGCAAAGGTGACTGACTACCTTCCGTTTTTCAAAATTTGTCTAGAAGATTAAAAACCAAAGGGGAACCATTAACAGACTCTGAGTAGCGAAAGTTGAAGTGGGAATGAAACTATAAGAAAGTAAGTTTCACTTTGAGTAAACGGTTTTTGAGGTAAAATATCGAAGTAATGCTGTTCTGTGAATGGTTTGACACAAAAGGCGGGAGCACAGACAAGGAAGGGCGCCATTTATATCCTCCCTTGCGCTCTCTCACCTACTCACCCAACCACCAGACATAGCTGAGTACTACTAAGTGCCTGGACCCGCGGGTAGGGACTCTTGGGGGACTGCAAAACAGAACACTGAGTTGACAGTTGTAGCTAGTTGATAAACTTGCTAAGAAAAGGAACACAGAAAGATAATTTTAAGCAGAGGGAGGGGATATAAAGCTTTGAGAAAACAGCATTTGGAGAGAGGAGAGTGGAAGAAGAGTCCTCAGAGGAGACAAAAGGGGTGATAAGAACTAAAGAACTGTGAGGGGTCAGGACCACGTGAGAAAATGTAGAAGAAAGTTTCAAGGGGAGCAGGTTCCCTCAAATAGTAAGTTCTATATAGCAAAAAGTTTCAGTTTCTTCCAAAAAGTCCTTAGAAAGTAAGCTTAAGACAATGAATTATGCAACAGTAATATTAATTCAATGGTTGGACTTTTGAGAATAATAAAAATAACTTTATTCTTATAAGCACATTTAAGGATGCTACTTTGGTTGCCACTAAAGTAGTTCTAAAATCCATTTCAACTCTAATATTCTATAATTTTGTGCAGTTGACATATTTGTGTTCTTTATGGATACATTTCCTGGCATAACTTGACCACTTCTGATGTTTAAGTCAGAAGCACATCATCTGTTAAGACTAGATTTCTAACTCAAGCCGTTGCTCTACTGCAATATACTGAGTTATCAGAAGCTGACTATCAAGAGAACGAGAAGAGACGGGGAAGGTAGAAACAGATATATCCCAAGATGAGATTTCCGGCATGCTTCTTCATATTTTCTGTAAGACAGTCTTTGCTCTCTCAAAGACACTCACCTCGAAAAGAACAGATGCTTTTTCTGAGGCAATGTTCAAGTTTTCAAAATCTAATACTTATTAATTTCAGGAAAATAATTTCAAAAAATAAAGAGAAGAAGACTTACGACAGAGCTACCCTATGGCCCAGCAATTGTACTACTGGGTATTTACCCCAAAGATACAGATGTAGTGAAAAGAAGGGCCATATGCACCCCAATGTTCATAGCAGCAATGTCCACAACAGCCAAACTGTGGAAGATGCTGAGATGTCCTTCAACAGATGAATGGAAAAAGAAGATGGGACGTACACAGTGGGATTTTACTCAGCCATCAGAAAGGATGAATACCCAGCTTATAGATCAATATGGATGGGACTGGAGACGATTATGGAAAGTGAAGTAATTCAAACAGAGAAAGTCAATTATCATAAAACCATATGATCACTCGTTTGTGGAACGTAAGGAACAGCATGGAGGACCTTAGGGGAAAGAAGGGAAAAATGGAGGGAGGAAAATCGGAGGGGGAGATGAACCATGAGAGACTATGGATGCCGAGAAACAAACTGAGGGTTTTAGAGGGGAGTGGGATTGGGGAATGGGTGAGCCAGTGATGGGTATTAAGGAGGGCACGTATCACGTGGAGCACTGGGTGTTATATACAAACAATGAATCATGGAACACTGCATCAAAACTAATGATGTCCTGTATGTTCTGTATGGTGACTAACATAATTAAAAAAAAAAAGAAAAAAATTTATGAGGAAAATATAAATCAAATAACTTCTAAGGAAGCTCCCACATTGGCTTGACAAGATAAGAAAAAAAATGAAGCAAAGGAGCACAATTATACTAGGGCTTTTGAGAACAAGCTATGTTTTGTGATCTTGGGAGTACGAATGATACATTATATAACTGATTCTAACACAAAAGATAAAAATAGGTACCAACTGTGGTATTCCCTAAATTACTTAAAACAAAATAACCCCCCCAAATTTATCTCCCTTATTTAAAGGATATATATTGAAAAGGATAGCTCTTTTTGTTTAGTTAACCCAAAAGCATGGAACAGCTTCAAGCTTCTCCCCAGTAAGGTTATACGGCATTCACACAATGATTCAGATGATTAATTTTATTCTACTCTCATGTGTATTGGTAGAATAGTATAATTTGGTAGCCTAATTTGCATAGGCTTCCAAAATTAGATAGTCCAAGGAAAATTACGTGTGTGTAAAATGAATTGTATATATGTTACTTATTGTTCGACTTTCTTCATACTAAATTTATAGTTTATGCTTGGAGCAACCAATTACATGCTTGTTAAATCTACTGACAAACATCAGAAAGAGCAATAAACAGGGATGAGTAGATTACTATCAAAGTATGCTAAAGACACGCTTCTTCAGTCTTTAAAGAGCTACACCACTGGGACAAAAATAGTAACTGAAATTTAAGGCTGACAAATGCAATAAATAAGCTATAGCTCAGTTTATACCATTGAAAGAACAATATTGAACTGGAAGGTCTAGAAAAGGGAACTGAACTCCGCTGGAATGTTTCCAAGAGGCAATTTAACATGGTTTCAGAATCCAGCTGAAACACAGAACACTTTAACTGACAAATACTACCTAAAAAGACTATGGGGGCCCTAATTTAATTCTAGAAAGCTGGAAAGTAAGAAGAGAAATATGCTTGGGCTCCAATGAGAACCATTTAGTTATACAATGATGTCATGAAATCCCAGGATTACACCTTTTAGAGAAGGCACTGAAAAACAAGTCATGAGGTAATAGAAAATTACAGGCTTTGTGGTAAATAAATATCAATGTCTTATACGTACTGAATAAACAAAAAACTAACTGGTGTACATGTATATTAGACATATAAGACATTCTAATACAAAACGCTCTCCTGACATCTGTAACTTTTATTTAAACTTCTTAGACTGTTTCTACAGTTGGAAAAACTGAGGTGGCAAATCCTTTCTGTATAAAAACACAGACACACACACAGGCAGCAAACTGAGCTCTCTAGAGTAAAAAAGGTAAAATACAAGTCAAAGAATAATTACCAATAAATAACAGCTTAAGTAGCTTTATGTAATTTCACGGGTCTCTCACATGATTATTTCATCCCCAGGCTGCAAGTCATTACCTACTACCGAAGCCAGTTAATCTGTGTCTATCGCACACGGACACCGAGCTGCTCCAGCACACGGATTACTCGTAGGACCGCTGGGTGGCGCCCAGCCATTATTCTGACCAGTAGGATGGCTGTTGGGAGCAAGTTATCTTTTTTTTTAAAAAAAATATTTTATTTATTTATTTGACAGAGAGAAAGAGCATAAGCAGAGGAAGCAGCAGGCAGAGGGAGAGGGAGAAGCAGGCTTCCCGCTGAGCAAGGGAGGCCGATGCGGGGCTGGATCCCAGGGCCCTGGGATCATGACCTGAGCTGAAGGCAAGGGCTTAATGACTGAGCCACCAAGGCGCCCCTAGGGGCAAGTTATCTTATAATAATAGTTACTATTATTATTATTATTATTATTATTATTATCTTATAATAATAACTATCATCATTATTATTACTTATAGTACGGATTTTAGGCCAGAGGATGCACTTTCCACATGCATGATCTCATCTAATTATCACAACAACCCTGTAAAGAAGCTTTCAGCATCTGAGTTCTGCTAATGAGAAAACTGTGATCAGAAGGATTAAGGCACTGCTTGGAGACTGGGTTATCAAGTAGAAGCCTACAGATGAGATTCCAGATGCTTACAGCCCGAGTTCAGGTTTTTCCATTATACACGGCTGCCCGCAGGTCTTGCCGGACTAAAACTCAAGTGTCATTTCCTGAAAAGTCAAAAATGGCGAAGCGTATCATATCAGGGAGGAGTCATGTACGTAGGGATTACTGGGTAACGATAGACCCCAAACTACTCTGCAAACGGCTTTATTTTTAACTGAGAAGCTTTTATCTCACATGAAGTACCATAAAAATCTCCTCCACAAAACCGTTACCTCAGGACAGTGCACCATATACACGCTGCAGCCAGGCCGGTGCTAGGACCACTGGATGACCACCACCCAACACAATGTAACTAGTGTTTTGCCACCTTAACAGAGAAATGAGGACCAGAGCCCGACCTTTTCATTATACTATCCAGCCAAGGCTTACTATGACATGAGTAAAAAAGGGACTTTTGGAAGATAGATTTATATATCTAGAGGTATTAAAAATATTATTATATCTACCCTTTAGTTAAAAGAAGACAAAGTAGCTTTTAACATTTTTATATTGTGGCTAACACTGGTCCTCATTTTAAATCTACTAATTGAGAATGAGATAAAATACTGATTTGACATGATTACTGACAACGGATTACATGGTATACAAATGGCATTGGATAAAATTATTTTTTAGAGCAGAGATTCTCAACGGGGAGGATGATCTTACCTACTGCCAACTGGGAATCACTGTGTCACAGGGATGTTATGGGGCAGGGAAGGGGGAGAGGTAAGTGTTGTACAGGGAAAACCCACGGCAACCAAAAAAGGTCAAGAAACCAAAAAAGTAAAGGCTTTAGTGAATAACACTTATGACTACTCAGTGAATAGTCACTGACTCACAGATATCTGATTTTTGAATTTGTAAAGTTTAATACCAGAAGGACTTTTAGTGACTCAAAAAACCCACCTATACAATGAGGGAAAAAAAACCTACTGTAAACACATTATCTAGCCTGTTAACATTCTGTAGTAGAAGGATGGGATCAACCAGGTTGATCAAAACCTCTATCACATGCCCTCTACATAGCCTGGAGAATTTTCTATTCATTTTTACTTCGATAAATTCGTTTCATTTACCAAGAGCTTATAGCAGTAGGGATGTGATAACAAACACCGTAACATGGAAAGAGAGATGAAACAAAAAAATGTCCATTATTTTTCTCACATGGAGTTAGGAGATGATGGTGAAGTAAATATGAAATGGAACAGTGGGCCTCTGTTCTGGACCCTGGTTGCACGGCACCCCCCTTCAGCTAAGTGCAAGGGAGCTTCAAGGCAACACAAAACAGAACGGGGTTGACCTGCATACTACGTTCCTGTTTAGCCACTGTGTGCTTATTTCTCTCATACTAGTCACCAAAGGACACACACGTGTAAGTAACAGCTCAACGCCTTTCCTATCAGGAGACTAGGAATTAAAAGGTAAACTACTTTTGAATTAAGTTTTATTTTCTCTGCTTTCTGTGACAGCGGTGAAGACGGTGGCAGTTAAAGACTGACCAGATAGAACTTATCTACAACCACAATGTGTAAAATGTATCGAAAAACACACAGATCCACGTAGTCTACACAACAGGTAGTGTAAGTCTTACTAGGTCGGGTCAAGAACTAATTCTATTGCCCACATCTATCCTTACTCCTTCGTAGATTTGTATGAAGTAAAAAGACTCTGCTTTGTGGCTCCTGGATGGCTCAGTGCGTTAAGCCTCTGCCTTCGGCTCAGGTCATGATCTCGGGGTCCTGGGATCGAGCCCCGTGTTGGGCTCTCTGCTCAGCAGGGAGCCGGCTTCTCCCTTCCCCTTTGCCTAACTCTCTGCCTACTTGTGACTCTCTCTCTCTGTCTCTCTCTGTGTCAAATAAATAAATAAATCTTTAAAAAAAAAAAAAAAAAGGCTCTGCTGTAAGTTCTACTGATCCCATCAGCTTTATAAACTCCTAACTGAAAAAGCAGCAGAGGGATTCGAGGGACAGACGACAGAGAGAAGGATCATGCTACAAAGTGAAAATTAATTTCCAAATGACAAGTAAAAAAAAAACAAAAAAAAATGAAAAAAACATACGTAACTGTATATGTAGTATGTTAGCAGTAAATATTTAGCATGCCTGGTCCTCAGGAGAAATATATGCTGTAGAGTGAAACTGGGCACCTTTTTTGAAGGAAGGTCAGAAGAAAATTCTACTAAATTTGAGAAGAGATAATCATCTTGGGAAAGATAACTTTACTACAGTTTCGAGAGGATTTCAGTACTAATCATATATTTATTAAATCTCACAAGTTTTAATTAATTTATGTTACATTGGGAAATTTCCTGTTTGTCCAACTCAAATTGCACTGCTTGCCTTCCTTAAAAGTATTCCCATAGACTGTCATCTCTCTGAAACACTGGTTTTTGCAGAGGGCTTATGAGAAGATGAGGACATTCCTCATGGAGGCCAATGGAAAAGAGCAAGAGAATATGAAATCACAATGATTAGTTTTTACTTATAGTTTGTTAGGCTTCTGCAAATCCAGAAACTGTCCTCATCAATACTGATTCCAACTGTGAGACCCCTGGTATGTATAATCCAGCATTTATGGGGTTTTATAGTTGAACAGGGAATAAGTGAATGAACAGAAAAGCACATGGACATTTATCCTGCGTGATTGTTCCTGCGTGATTTAGGGCTAAGTGGGCCTTGGTGATTTCTGGACAGTCAGTTTCAACAAATGTCATCAAGGCACCGCGGTCCCCTCCTCTTGCTCTTGCAGCTGATGATTCCAGTTACAGTGCTTTGAGAATGGCTCTGGACTTCCGCTGCAGGCCTTCAGTGAGACAATCAAATTCTATGAAACCACATGTACCAATGGCTCGACCGTTTACTTGGCTATTTTTAAGATTCGATAAACAAAAGCAAGCATAATTTCCATGCCCACAAACAAACAGCCTCCTCAATTTTATAGTTTCTAAAATCTACTTGGGGGAGAGTTAAGATCTATTATCTGTATCAGTAAATACTAAATGAGCAGCCGTTACACATCTATTCCCGTGCTAGAGAATGTGAGAAGAGCCGAGAGCTATGAAGAGCACGGCCCTTGGCCAAAGCATAGTCGAGCGTGGGAAGGCTGGAAACACTCTGAATAGTAAGATTCAAATCGTGCTACATTATGCTGTGGCTACGTATCTACTTACTTCCTGCACAGTATGCATTTGATAAAATAGTAAATGTCAGAGAAGTTTTCCAGACTGGAACTTTAGCATGCTCACCCCGTAGGACGCTGCATTATGAAGAGGAATTAGACCACCTTTGTCTTGGGCATTAACGTCTGCTCCATGCTCCAGAAGATACTCAGCTACTTCCAGATTATTGTAGCCTGCTATTAGAGTGAAAAAGGCAAACATGTTAGACTAAGAAAATATATCGATATTTGTATCTATGTCTATAAAGAATGGCCAGAAAAATGTTAGGATTTTAGATACTTTTTGCTTTAAAAGCTAATACTCCTCTCACATAACTAAGAGCCTTTACAATTAGAAATTATATAAAATTATGTCAATCAAAAGCATTTTACTATTTCTGCTCAGCATTTCTTTCATCTTCTGGTAAACTGTATCAGCTATCCAAGAACGGCCAATGGGCTTTGGACGAGCCACTGACACTCACCTGCCAGGTGCAGAGGGGTTGAGTTCCTGCCCTGGGTGTCCCTGCAGTTGATGTTGTCCGGCGTGCACAGCTTCTGCACTCTTGCCAGGCAGCCCTTCTTGGCGGCATCCAGCAAGGCGGCGTCTCCTCTCAGCAAGTCCTGGATATCTGTGTCTCCCTCCTTTACCAGATCTAATGGTGTATTTCCATCTCGGTTCTTTTTGGTTGGATCTGCTCCATGCTAAAACAGCAACAGTAAGACAAAACAGACAAACAAACAAAACCAAATGGGGTTTGTATTTTCTATAGTATCTTTTCTAAGGTTTATTTTTAACTTCATCTTCACCCACCCAAGGAAAGATATCTATTTTGTATGCATTTGGGGCAGGGGGTGGGGGAGGCCATATCTGATACCATGAAAGTGGTGGGACAAGAATTCTATTTATGTTTAACTCGCATAAGTTTTTCTCTAGTTAAAAAAAAAAAAAAGAGAGACAAAAAACAATATGTCTCATTATTTTTCACATCTTTTAATTTAAAAAAACACAAAATCATTAAGTTAGTTTAATAAAACTACCAGTTTCTACTATTTCATTTATATCCCCCAAATTTATATGCATAATTTTGTCTAAAGATTACTTTATATTTTAATACCACTCTAATATTAAAGTTCTTGTAAGATATATGTTTAATAATGAGCAATGAGTTTGTTAATAATAAAATAGCTGCTAAGAAAAAAAATCATTGTTGATTAAACCTCTTGTTTCTCCTAGTACAATGTTTTCTCACATTAGTACCATAAGTATTGGATAAGCAGTGCAAACTAATGCAACTCTTTCCAAAACCTACCCTGATGAACTGTGATGAACTGAACTTAATCAAATCAGTTCAGAAAGGCACTTCAGACACTACTCAAAGCTATGTAAGTATCATACCACACTTAAATATCCCCCTAAAATAGAAAATGGAAGCAGTCTTTATAGCACTTCTTATACTTAATAATTTACTGTGATATAATTTTACATGCTAACCAAAAAATAAATATAATTACTTTATATTTTATAATTTTTAAAATTACATACTTTTAAAAGGAGCTTGCAGATTTCATATTTTCCTTTAGCTGCTGCTTCATGCAGAGGGGTAAATTTCCATAAGTCCGCCACATTGACAGAAGCCCCATGCCTTACTAAAAGCTCAGCTACCTCATAGTGTCCATATGAACAAGCATTATGCAGGGGTACCAAGCCACTAAACAAAAGAAAATTATTTTAAAGACATAACAGATCTTTGTGTTAAAATGATACTTATTATAAAAATAACATAATTCTTCTACAGCAGTGACTATATTGAACACTCACTTCAAAAGAAAGAATTCTCCTCTGGTCTTGAAGATATAGTCATCCATTTCCAAATAAGGATTAACAATTTCAAAAACATCCCTTTCAATATAAGGATTTTTTCCCTAGTTTCTTGGTGATGGATAGAAATTTCACAGCCATCCTATGCTTAAAACACATACAGATACACCCACAGAAAAGCTCCATCACAATACTTTAAATTCAGGTTACATCGATATTAAGAGCAACACTACAAAGTGACTTCAGGAATAATTTAATCAGGAATTGGCTTTTAATCAACTCAGCTTTTCTTCCATTTGGGTTTTCCTAATGAAAACTGTATGCTTATAAAATATACAATGCAATTTAACTAGTTTATTTAGGCAAGTTTTACCTTTTGTCTTTGGTCTTTATTTCTTAATTCCTAATAATTCAGTAGTGGTTTCTATGCATAGATTTAAATATTTAAGTGTCATACAGTGAAAACTCAAAAAGCCAAGTGATACAGAAACTTCAGTATTCAGTAAGGGAAACAGTGACACCAAACATAAACTCCAGCCCGATGAGAAAAATCTAGCTGCCTCAACTTATAAGCAAACTAGTTTGAGATAACTCTGAGCTCTGGTTGGAAGGCAGCTGGCATTCGAAAAAGAAAGGGATTCCTATAAAAAAAGAGTGAATCAAAAGGATAAGCTTAAGTTGCACTTAAAACATGACAAAAACAAGGTATCAAATGCCTTTTTACTTAGGGATCAGTTTTTTTTTTTTTTAATGTTTTGAGACCAAAAATACTAAGTGCTAACTAAAATGGGCAATGGAGGGATGTCTGGGTGGCTCAGTCAGTTGGGTCGCTGCCCTCGGATCAGGTCATGATCCCAGGGCCCTGGGATCGAGTCCCGCATCGGGCTCCTTACTCAGCGGGGAGCTTGTTTCTCTCTCTACCTCTGCCTGCCACTCTGCCTGCTTGAGCTCTCTTGCTCTCTCTCTCTCTATCTCTCTGACAAATAAATAAATAAATAAATAAAATCTTTAAAAAAAATAAATAAAATGGGCAATGGAAACAACTACTGGTAGCTCTCCAGAGTCCTACAACACTTGGAAAGAGCTGGTGCTATTATTACTGAATATTCAAGTCTGATGTGCCCGTTTTAAAAGATAAATAAATCCGTAATGGTTAACTGAAGTCTAAATTGTATGGTTTAATTCCACAGTACTCTGATATGTAATTGCACAGAAAAGTGCTTGCTTATTTCTATTTTGAGATGATATGAAATTAACTCAGAATATGGAAGCTCATTTCAGTTAAAACTTCCTTCTCGCATTTTTAAACAGCTGCTGTGACTGCTTTAAACTCTGTCTAGATAAATTAAAATAATTTAGTAAACTAATATAAAAAGTATAGAATATCTGAATTAGTGAAAATAAAATTATACGTCTATTAATACCAATGACTTTGGGATGGATGGCTTCTTTTGGGAAGAGATCATACATTTTAAATAGCAAAAAAGAAAAAAGGATGAACAATAAATTACAAACTGTATAAACACATTCGTGCAATGCAGTAAAATACTATCGTAGGCATTAAAAAGATGAGATGAACAATTAAGTACCGATACGGAAAGGCATTCGAGATACACTCCTGGGTGAGAAAGCAAACTGCAGAGCAGGCTACGTGGAATGGCGTCATCATTTAAGTTAAAAACAAGCACTGCCGCCACAAGAGCATCTGAACTGATTTATACTTTTAGGAAAATCTGGAGGATTATCAGAAAGTGTTCACGTAATCTTCAGAAGGTGGGGTAATAGGGATTTTCATTTGCTATACTGTACATTTCTATTAGATGCCTTAAATTTTAAAAAACACGTATTACTTTTTTAAGAGTGAAAAAAAATATCTAGGACTTCAAAAAATATTTTTAAAAAATTCGCAAGTCCCAAACACTAAATTCTAACACATACCCTTTGTCTTTGGCGTGGACGTCGGCACCGTGGTGCAGAAGGTACTCCACGACAGACACGCGATTGTAGCCTGCCGCAAAGTGTAAAGGGGTAGAATGCCGGCCTTCCAGATCTCTGCAGTTCACATTCTGAGGGCTGCAAAGTTGCTTTAATGACACACACACACACACACACAAACACACACACACAAACACAAAAAGAACATCAATATTTATTCCCACGTTTTGCTCCAAAATACTGCAGGCATCTTGGATAAGCTGTCATTTCCTAATGAATATTTATTTCTAAAGATTAGATGATGCAAGTGATGTTTAAAAATCAGCACTCTGCTTGGCTTCAAAGTGTCTACAAATATTTTTACGACTTACAGAGCAATTTCATCTTTTTTTTTTTTTTGAACATTTCCTGGCCAAAATCATCATCAAAAAGAAAAACTCATAATAAAGCAAGACTCTCCGTGGCAAATGATGCCTTTGTCTTTCATCTTCGTAAGGCTCTCCTCCCTGAGACTGCCTGCCCAGTTCGTCTGCCTGTACCAGCACGCCGTCTGCCATGTTTCACTCAAGGAGGACCGACCCTGGCCGACTACAGAACTACCCAGAGCTCTTGTCTCCACTAATGTGGCAAGCAAAAAGCTGCCAGAAAAATCACATTAATTCTGCCTGGGCCACCCACTTGGTCCCCTGACCCGCTCCAGGAAAGCCATGCGGTCATCAGCACTTCCCCCCATCTCTGGGAGATGTTTGTCAACCGTTACAAGTCAAACTGATTCCAATCATGCTCTCGTTTTTCGTCTTTCATCTCCTTGTGAATGCGAGTGTTTCAGCACAAGCTCGATTCCGTCTGCTTATAGAGCAGCGGGAAGCAAAGTTAAGGACCAGCAGGTTGCACCACTGGCAGTGACAGATGAATTTTAATAATACATCAATAATAATTCACAATTTATAAAGAATCTCATATTCTTTCAGCGAGAGAACTATTATCTATCTGTGAAGTTGACCATTATCTCCATTTTACAGATAAAATAGACCAATGCTCAGATAGGGCTAAGCAGCCCATCCTTTCACAAAGTTGGTAAGGTAAAGGGTACAACAAAGGCTCAAACTTGGTTTTCCCTATTCATATTCTTTTGATCTTTCTGCTACATGCTTGCTTACTTTCCTAACTGCCCTCATTCAGGGAAGTGATGCAAAGAAAGGTAACGGAAAGAATAGTCAAAAAACCCAGAGAAAACAGTGACATTTTCTCGCCTACAAGGTAGGATGGCTGGGCTTTCCAGGCGTCTGACAATCTTGCTGCCACTCCTGCCACTGTAATGAGCTATTATTATATAAAAACCAAAAGCCTGGGAGGCACCTGTTTCTACTGACTTCCTGAGTCGGGGCTTTCCCATTGGTAGGGTAAAAGCAGGACTCGGCAGGTGGTACAGTGCATACAGGACAGAAGGAGAGCAGGGCCGCAGGGAGAGCCTACAGTCTCACCAGCTCTACGTGGAAAAGCCCTGACTCTAGAATCTCAAGAGCCACTGCCATCTGGCCAGGTCAAATATCTTACCCTTTCGTGACAAGTGAGTCTGTGGCTACCTTAATACGTAAATTATAGAATCAAAAACCAAAATGAAATAGAAGTGAATAAATTAATACATAAAACTAGAGAGCACAAAAATTGTTAGTAAGCACCTTCTACTGGTAGCTTACATGATTGCAGCTGCTTCTTGGTGCTGCTGGGTTTTCTTCAGGCTCTTATATTCTAACTCCCCCCCACCCCCCCCAGAGAATATCAGCAAAACAGGGATGTGGTATGGAATGACACACAACTCACTTTGCCAGGTTACAAAAATAAAAGCCCATTCTGCTTAAGAAACATTCACTTCTAGTATTTGGAAGTTCTTTATTCCCTGTTCAATTTCAATTTCCTTTTGAATGCTAAAGCAAATTTACATTCTTCCTACCTGATTTTCATAATTTCAAATACTTTACTCAGCAAACAGCCTTTTCTTCTAATTCCTAATAATTTAATACTCTCTGAAGCCTCTAGGGAAGGAAATTTACCATGCTTAATTCTCACTTAATTTGTGCTTTGCTTTTCTTCTGCCACTTCCATTCCATTCATAAAAATATAGTCGGCCTTTATTGTGAAGGCTGACTATACAACTGGGAGGTGTGACACAAATGCTTTTTTAGGAAACGTGAAAGCTAGAGATTTGCCTATCAGTATATACAAAACACATGGAATTAAAAACTACAAATTAAGAAAATACTAAACTATTAATTTAATGATCATGGGTACATGTAGCAAGGCTGGTAAGATTATCATGCAATGATGTAGAAAAGGAGTCCTGATCACTTTTATATTTAAAGATTTTCTTTTATTAGCATATATTTCAAATGACAAAAAGTATATGTAATTTTAATTAAGGAAAAAAGTATATAGTTTTAGATCTAAGAGAACTTTAAAATTTCTCCCCAGTGGCTATTACAACTGAAGTTTACTGCTTTTCTTTAAATAACAGATGTTCTTGTAAGATGGAAGAGATGTTAGAAGTGGCCACATACTGAAACAAAAAAAAATTTTGTTTTTGTTTACTGTATTTTCTTTCTTTTCTTCTTCTTCTTTTTCTTTTAAGATTTTATTTATTTGAGAGAGAAAGACTATGAACAGGGGGAAGGGCAGAGGCAAAGGGACAAGCAGACTTCCCACTGAGCGGGAAGACCCAGTACGGGAAAATTATTTGGTGAATGGAAAGTGCGATTTAGGGATAAGATCTAAGCTATGGATTTTTCTTTGTTTTCAGATAAGAAAAAAAAGTACCTCCTTGTTTCAATTCATATCTATCTCATCCTAAGCTACATTTAAATAAATTCGAGGGGCGCTTGGGTGGCTCAGGGGGTTAAAACCTCTGCCTTCAGCTCAGGTCATGATTCCATGGTCCTGGCTGGGATGGTGTTCCACATCGGGCTCAGCAGGGAGCCTGCTTCCCTTCTTGTCTCTCTGCCTGCCACTCTGCCTACTTGTGATCTCAAATAAATAAAAATGAATAAATAAAGAAATAAAGAAATAAAGAAATTCGAAGACACACAAATCCTTCTCCATCCCTACTATTCTAGTCTTCAAATTTTCTGGCCCACACTTGGCCTTTCTTCAAAAAAGAAAGAAAGAAAGAAAGAAAGACAGACAGACAAACTATAAGACCAACACCTAAATAAGAACAAAACCCCTATCTCTTCCTATCTTCATCCCTATCTTCATCCCTACATTAGTGATTGCAGATAGGAAGTATCAATTCTTAAAAAGGATATTTAGTATCAGAATATCATTTTATATTTGAAAAAAATTACATCTATAATTTAATGTTAATGTTTATAATTTAATGTTTCTATACCACAAATAAAGGCTGTTAAAATTTTCCTGGCAAGCAGAGTTACATAGAAAAGAAAATCCAGGAGCACCTGGGTGGCTCAGTTGGTTAAGCGTCTGCCTTCAGCTTGGGTCATGACCCTGGAGTCCCGGGATCAAGCCCTGCATCAGGCTCCCTGCTCAGCAGGGAATCTGCTTCTCCTGCTGCCCCTCACCTTGTGCTCTTCCTCTCATTTTCTTTTACTCTCTCTCTCAAATAAATAAAAAGAAAGAAAGAAAAAGAATTGTTTTTCCTTAAATAGAAAAAAAGGAAGAAAATCCATCTTCGGTATTTAAGTTAATTCCGAATGGATGCAGGATCATAAGAGCAATTTCCTAGAGCAACAGTGAGAATCTCTTAGAAAAGTTGAAGAAATATTGTTTCGAACTTTATTGTGTAATATATTACCAGGGCTTGAACTAGCTTAGACATTTATGAATGTGGCCACAAATAACACTTTCATTAATATCAGTGGAAATAAAAGAGCTTTCATAGACCCAGAAGGAAAGTAGCTAAAGCAATTTAATGGATATAATAAAGCACATACTAGAAAATCCTCCCTGGTTAAAGAGCTCTCCTGCTTATGGATCTACTTTGTTTATCCCTTTTATTATTTGGATTTGAATAGTTTCACTTAGGAACTTAAAATGAATTGGTTAGCAAAGTTTCAACGGCGCTACCCAAGATTCTAAAAGCACTGATTTACCTTCACAGTTTCCAAGTCTCCAGCTTTAGATGCCTCTAGGAGTCGATAGTCAACATCAGAAGTGCGTATAGGTGTACTTTCTAAATAAAAGAGAGGAAAGGTTACTCCTGTTGGTTTTTAAGGAATCTCAGAATTAAGAAGGGAAAATTATTTGGTAAATGGAAAGAGAGATTAAGGGGTAAGAAATTCCTGAGATCTAAGCTATAGATTCTTGTTTTCAGTTAAGAAAAAAGTGCCTTCTTGTTTCAATTCATATCTATCTCGTCTTAAGCTACATTTAAATAAATTCAAAGACACACAAATCCTTCTCCATCCCTACTATTCAAGTCTTCACATTTTCTGGCCAACACTTGGCAAAAAGGAATAAAGAAACATAGGAGCAGGATATCAAAAACATCTTCATGATACTTTGGTCTTACAAATGCAATAGCAAAGCTTTACCATAGATTTTGTTGTGTAAATCGAGGGAAGGCACTCAACTTTCAGGACTTAATGTTTAGCTTTTTTCTTTTTGGCCTTGACTTCCTCAATATAAATAGAGGGACTACTCCCCAAATCAGTGGTCTCAGAAAATATAATCAGTGTACAAAAGGGCCTACTAAATACAGAAATTTGTTTAATTCACATTTATTAAATGGCTTCGGAGAAATGCAGTTAAAATGTCTGTACAATTGGGAGGTGTGACACAAATGCTAAATAGACTATAATCAGATGAGGCTGATAGATGTAGAAGTATGAGGCTAACAAATGAAGTGTTTCGATTAATACAATATAAACAAACCAAAAATTCATTATACATTGGCTCAAATTAAAAAATTTTCAAAGGAAACAACATATGTCACTCAAAATATGTTTGTGGACGTTATGGGTGGCCTTTATAATGCACATTCACATAACCCAAAAGGAGTGAAGTCCAGGAGACTTGGATTTTGACTAGTACTGGTGACAATGGACAAATCATTTAATAGGTTAGCTTTTGCTCCTATAAACTAAGTGTTGGTTTCCCTTAAATCCTCTTTGGATTTAAGACTACATTATCTTATGATCAAAGACGCCTTTCTTGAGTCCACTGTCTACATGGGAAGATCAAGTGATGCTATGAAAAGGTTTTAGATTTCAGAAGAAATACTTTGGCTCTTTCCAGTCTAAAGTGCTTCATTCAGGAGACTGGCTTTTACAGATTTGGTTATGAGAACTCCTCCATAAAAGAGAAACTGTGTTTATTTAGTCATGATAATACGTAGCAGATAAAATGCTAAGATTAAAGCGAGGAGAGAGTATTTCATATGATGAAGTATCTTTTTGAAACATCAATAAATATTTTCTTCAGAAGAGAGTTCATTATTTGTTAGTCTGTGGAGCTGTGGAGGAAAGAAATCAGGTCCTGCTCGTCTTCATGTTCCTTTTCACAGAGAACATTCAGAAAGCATTTGCTGAACTGACTTCCATGCTAGTCTGTACTGGGTCAGTGTGTTTGGCCCGTCACTGCTCTTTCTTTGGCTGCCTTTATTCTGTTCTTTCTGGTCTAATTTGCCTCCATTCTTGCTGTGCATGCCACTGCTGCATTTATGGGTGAGAAAGTCCGTGTGTATACTACGTCTCTCTGACAGTGATTCTGACAGTTGAGAAAATGCACTGAAACATCCTTTGGATATCTATAGGTAATAGTTTTCGCTTATCATTTCAACAAAATAAAATGACATTTGTTTATGTATATGGAGTTGGACCTTTGGATATTTTCAGATTCTAGCATCTGAGGGATACAAATAAGGCTAAATGTTTTAATTCTATGAACTATTTGAAATTGGCACACTGGTCTTGATGCAGACTACTTGCAAACGGTATAATTTTACAATCAAGCAAAAATTTTTATGCAAATACAAGAATGCTTCTGAGAACCATGGAGAAATCCTTACTCCTAGTCAAAGAGTCGAAAGTAGTTATTTAAAGATATTGATTAATTACTATACAAATTATAGAGTTTTGCATCCATTATAAATCCTGAACAGGCTTAGAACAGATTCATTTTTAGAAACAATGTGAACAAAGTATTAACTGAAAGGATATATATACACCCCAGAAACTTTGTACAAAGAGATGCAGAATTAAAAGAAGGACATAAAAATGAAGTTAAAAGGGAATATAAGTAAAAGAAGAGTAGCTGATATGCAAAGTACTACATTAATAAAAAGTGTAAGAAAAATACTATATTAGTAAAAACTGTAAGAAAAGAATTCAGAATGTTTTAACCTTATAAATTCTTTTATAAGCACACTGGCTTTTGTAGAATATGAAATTAAAGATTTTACGTCGAGTCAAAGGTTAAAGATGAGCTTGTAATTTTTTCTCCTATTCTATTCTGGCTCACCAGAATAAGGAAAGGAGAAAGGAAAGGAAAAGGGAGAGGGGAGGGGAGGGGAGAGAAGGGGAGGGAAAAGGATGGGAAGGAATGGGAAAGGGAAAAGGAAAGGAAAAGGAAGGAAAGGGAAGGGAAGGAACCCCAAACCTAAAGTTTCAAAGGCTGGAAGGCAGTTGTTATTTTTGTAAAACAATTATTTTGTTATTGTTATTTTTTAATCCCCTAAGACTAGCTGTTTGCTGGACTGGCAATAGGCCGTACTGGCTTATTTCAATGTGTAAATGTAAATGGGGATTTCAGTGTTTAATTTGGCTACTACAAATCCTTACCTCTATAAATGATTATGTAAAAATAACGGGATAACCATATTGGAATACAGTCAGAATTATTTCATGCCAAGGTCAAGTCTAAAATTGCTGTTTAAAAGAACTGTCTGTGATGCCGGAAATAGTCTTTATCTGTTAATATAGGAGCCACTAGTCATGTGGACAGAGCAGGTATAAAGAAAGCATGTCTGGAGAAAAAGGTCAAATCTTCCGAAAGGATGTTTTAAAATGCTGGTTTATAAAAGCTGCTATCTGATGTCAATTTTGATGTAAATACTGCCAAGAGTTTAAAATTCAAACTCCATTAATGTAAACTATTTGCAACTACTGACCTCAGAGCAGGAAGCACAGGTCTTTAAAAGCGGGTCTTAAACCTGGTATCAACAGGTGTATTTAAATGCATCTTTAAAACGTTACCCGGAATAGAACACCAGTAACTTAGTATACAACCTATATGACTGCTGCATTTTTTTTTCCTAAGAAAACAAAATGTTTATTATTTTGATGTAAGAGAGCTAAGGCTATTTAAATGTTGCCAGACGTTTTTGTCCATGACCCACAATAAAACACAGTAGGTTAAACCACCTTCAATTCCCAATAATCTGGCTGTGTCTTTCCTACAGAAATGGCTACTTCGTATGCCCAACCTAACGTACTTTATGTTGGGACTCAATAAACAAAATGAATACACACACATATGTATAAACACATAAAACCAAACATTCTGATATTAATGTATCTGTATGTGTGTGCGCATGTATGTATACACATATAAATGTATAGATCTGATCAAAAAAAGTTGTGTAAACCCATATTTATCCTAATTCTGTGTCATAATTAAATCTCTTCATGGCTGTATTTTACTTTAGAAAGACAGAAGTTACATTGACCATTTCAAAAACTGAACTCTGATATTTTCTACTCTGTTCTATTTTTTATAATGTTGGTTACAACCCACTAAATTGATTTTGCAGATCACTACTGGGATACAACTCCCAGCCTAAAAATGACTGCTGCATTCTTTAGGGAGTCATTACACATATAACCTGGGATGGATGAGTCAATGTAGGTAAAATCAGGAAGTTCAGCTAGTACATGGACCACAGACTATAGATACACAAGTTTCTCATAGAAATATTATTTTAAAAAATTATATCTTTTTCCAAAAAAAAAAAAATTATATCTTTTTCCAAACAAAAAAACAATTCCTATTTTCAAAACCTTTCTAAGGGCAACATTTTATCATACAATTCTACTATTTGTACTATTTTTCCAGATCAATAAGGAATATTAAGAATTAAATCCAAAAGCTCTGGCATGTCCTATGTTACACATTTAATTACCTGTATAATGTTTTATATTCCAAACAAACTTTTAAGAAGAATTACCAAAATAATTGAATAAAATATTTCATTTGTGATTCAGTATTTAATTTTATCTTTTACCAGAAGTCATATATTCTAAATACACTCACTTAGAAGGCATTTAAAAAGCATTAATGGATCTAATCTGCCTATTCAATCCTTTCTTCTCCATTTTGTCAATTATCTCTAAAATTATGCATAATATTATTAGAAATTTTGATGTGATAGCTGTTTGCCCGATTTATAGTTACAAATTATAAAATCTAACTTAAATCCAACACTAAATGGTTCTTGGTAAAAGTGTAAAAAAAATTTAGAATGTTTTAATAAAAATCACACTTTTTAGAAATTATATTAGAATTTACTGAGAAGGCTGAAAAAGTTTCTAATCAAAGCATGATACTATATCCTCTTTAAGCAAATGTTCTATTGCTCCATTGGAACAGGAAGTTAAATGAAATCATGTTTTTCATACTTCAAGCTTGCAATCCTGTAATAGGAAATTTCATTCCTCTAGATCTTTTCAATTTTGATGTAAGGTGTTCTAGACAGGGCTTACTTCAAATGGCTCTAGATCACCATTTAAGACTAAAGAAGAATGATACCAAAAAAAGGGGGAAAAAAAAGAACGATACTATCTACGAATGAGCTGGCATGAGGAAAGTAAATTCCAATTAACAGCTTTTAAAAACGTGGCACAGATATTCTGATTCAGCTCTAACAATACATATATGAGCTCCACAAGCCTAGAAAGTTCCCTATTTCAGAATATAGTTATGATTCTCAGCTGTGCTATACTTTTGCGGGGCTCTTGAGAAATTTGTGGGGCTTATGTTTGTCTTCTAGTGTTGTTTTATCCAAGCTATTACTATTACAATAATTATAAATTATTTTATGTTAACTTACTGTCATTTTCGCTTTATATTATAGTTAGGGTATTTAATTTGGGGTTTTTGGAAGGTATCTGTACAGTTAGGTCACATTATCTATACATTTCATTTCTGAATAAGAAAAGGGGATATTATAAAATATTCATATTATGACAAGGCACTGTGTCTGATGGAGCAAAGAAATCTTGGGTTATCGGCAGAAGAAAGTAACTAGGGCTTCAGATTCCTAGTCTGTAGCCTTCCTTCTCCATTTTACTCTTCTGTCTGTTATGTCATTCTAGAGCAGATGTAACCCACAGACAAAAATAAAACGGATGGGAAACAAGAGTCAGTTATACCAAATTCATTTTCTATCTAGCTCACCATTTTTCAAGAGCTAGACGGTGCCATTTCCTCTAATTTGGGGGCTCAGGAAACTAGTCAACTTTCATATCAGTTCTATGTTCAATCTCCCTCAATACATTAAGCAGATAAAATATCAAATGCTGTACTAGGTAGGCACTAATATTCAATAAGATTTTATAATTGTATTTAAGCTAGGAAAACAAGATAATTTCCTAACGGCGAAATGAAGTTAAGAAATACCAAAAAAAGCCGGTCAGACTATCCCATATGTAAGAACAATGAATTAAAGATCATTACCAGATGAATGATTTCTTATTTTCTCTATCTGACAGATCTTAGAGCTGCCATAATTCCACACCATTTATAGGAGCTTTAAGTCACCTTTGATCATAACACCCATGAGTCAGGTTTTCAATTTAAAACTTAAAAAAAAAAAAAAAAAAAAAAAGAGAGAGAGTATATGTCTCCTTTTCCTGACACCTACCTCACTCCACCAAAAAGGTTGATAGGAAGGGCCTCAGGCTAAACTGCCAGCAAGGAAAGGTATGAAAAATATTCAGGCAAAGAAAGTGTTCCATAGAGCGACTTAAAACAAGTGTGCAGAGTTTGTTTGTTTCTATCAGCGGATATGAAGCGGGAAGGCCAGAATGTACTACTTATTTATTTAAACTCACCACTTAGGATCTGCTGCACGGCTTCGTTGCCCATCTGCGCGGCTGTAAAGCCTTGTAAGGAGATGATGGAAGGATCAGAGCCGTAAGTCAGCAGGAGGCGGCAGGTCTGCAGGTGACCTGCGAGGGCAGCTCGATGCAAAGCAGTTTGACCAAGGGTGTCCAGTGCGTTCATCTGTAAAACCATTGGGTAGGAACAGAGAATTGAGTATCTACTTGTTCCATTTTACACCCTAGCAAATAAATTCTTACAAGAAAAATAAAACTGTCAAAAGCATTCTGAAAAATGCCACAATTTACTATTAACTTTTTGGTGACTGCTTCTGAAAAGGTATCAGTTTCTTAGTTATCCTTCTCTGTCTGTCTTAATGAAAATTACAATATACTCATCCCTGCCCTGAATGACTGTCTTCTTGTCCATCTTCCAGTCCCTCCACTCCCCTCAACAACTAGAATGCAACGTCTCTGAGGGCTGGGACTCCGATGTTCACTGCCTGCCACATCCAAGACGTACATGAAATACTTCTGGATGAATGGATTTTTACCAAACTTGCTCCTGTAACATGAAGACTACAGAATATGTAAGCAAAGACAGTCAAAGTAGTTAATTACATTTCTTTTCTAATTTTAGTAAATGATTTTAATAGAATACCCTCGTTGCTAAACTGAATTACCAGTGCCTGAATTACTAACACATTTAACCAGCCCCCAAAAGATTTAAATTTTCAAATGTTCCATTTTTAAAACTTTGAAGTTATAAAGGAAGAATAATTTAGCTAGTTTTAAGATAACATTCAACTTTGGGATCAGCTTCATAATTTGATCAAACCTGTTTTCCAGGATGCCCCTATAAGTACCTTCTATTCCAATCCGACCAAAATCCATGTTCATTGTACACGCTGATTCTTTCAGAGAAGCCCTTCTTTCTGCCTTTCTGGATTATGAAATCCAGTGCAAGTCTGAGCTTTCTTAAGAAGTCTTGATTACTCAAAGGCTTGGTAAGATTACTGACTTTCTGAATACCCATGTCAAGTTAGTACCATCTTACAAATTTTAACATGGGGCCAATTTTTGTTATGGCTATTGAGATTATGGGTTGTATTATACAGGTTTTCGGAGTTTTCTAGAAGGCTCCTCTTCAGGGCAGACAGTAATTCTCAAATATATGCCAGCAGATTATTCTAGCATATTTGTGCATACCCACCCAATACAAGATTAAGGAAAGAAAAGATTTAAGACGACTGATCTCTATGTCTCATTCTTCCATTATTTTAAGTAAGGCTGTCACACTTTTTCAGGCAAGGGTTCATCTAAATTCTTAATGGTGTGTCACATTAATTTGTTATTTATTTGTTAATCAATTAATTTGTTATTTGTTTGTTATTAATTTATTTATTTATTTGTTATTTGTTACTTATTCGTTATTAATTTATCATGACATACTGATATATATAATTAGAGGTCTCATTTGCTAGTGGAAAAGTGACTGTTTATACATAAGCAACATAAAAGCACAGCCATAAGCATGTATTGATGGAAAACACAGGCTACCAAACTAAACTTCTTGACTTTCTATTTCTTTGTTACCTCACTCCAAGAGAAAAACTTAAAATTGGGAACATTCTAATCATTAACATTTTTCTGGAAATTTGGTAAGAAACCCACTAAATTATTTAATTATAGTGACTGAAATCCTCAGTACAATTTGCTAAGTGTTGGGAATGTGGCCTGACAACTACTACTTCAAAATACAGGTATTACTAAGTTATTTTCCACCTCAAACTCAGTGACTCTTTAGTGCCTTCAAATAAATATGAACTCTTCAGCATGTCATTTAAGACCATCTATAATTTACTTTTGTACTATCTTCCTTTCTACTCTATTTTTTCATCACAATTTGATAGGCTTGCTGTGCTGCAGCTTTATCAGATTACACTGGAACCCTGTTTTATGAAGGTGCTAGTTTCTAAAGTCACTGCAAAATGTAAAATCTGCCTTTGGTCAACACTACCCTTGCAAACACCTTGACAATGTAATGGTAGAGACAGATACAAGGTTTCTTAGCAAATTCAACACTGGCCAGTTTTGCCTTCAATGTATCAGCAGATCAACTGAACCCCAAAGTCATATAGTATCTTTAAACACTAAAAACACACTATGTGTAAGGAGAGGTTGTCTCGATACATAAACCTGGTGAAATTGAGCACAATACAGGAAACAACAGATTCCCTTCTGTCTCTCACTCGCTCTGGGGCATGCACTTGTGGAATGGAATGAGTCTGGGCAAAAACCACCACTCACTAATGTTATTTCCATTAACTTTCCTTGTTTCTCTTTACTCTCGGTTTTGGAGGGGTGGTGCCGAATGCAGCTCCACTGACACGTTCTCATTTCTCTACCAAGCTATTATTCTCTGTTTCATACTCCTTATCCTTGTATACAGCTGTCAAAATTACAACTAAGTTGTTTACCTCCTAAAAAGTCTGGTAAGAAAGGGATGCAGCTAACGTTTACTAAGCACTTCCCGATATTAGGCTTGGTGCTAGATGTTATATGTAAATTGGAAGCTTTTTTTAAAAGCAGAAATTATGACTTGATCTTAAATGTAATTCTTCTCCTCTGTCCTCCCCACTCCCCAGAAACACAAGGTCTAGGACATAGCTTGGAGCTATGTGAACAGCTTATGTGAGTAAGTGGAAAAAAAAATAGAATAACATATAAATCGCTGTTAGAGTTCATTTATAAGAGGAATTTTTTATGTCTAGTTGAAAAAAAATTCCAACCATTTAATGAGGACTGAATGATAATGCTAGGAAGTTAAAACCTTAATCATATACTGAAGCTTTATGTCTTCATCCCTACTGGCGTATATACGGCATTCACTCATTTCCATATGTGGCATTAGATTCTAATATCTCAGAAAACCAAACTTTCCAGATAAACTACAAGACAGACCAGTGTAACATAGAATCCTTTGTTTTAGAAAATGTATATATTTTTTATTATGAGAGAATTGTCCCCTCGAACTCTAAATTGTTACCGTAGCAACAAAAGAGTATCGATGGAGTACTTTATCAGGCAGCGAAGGTGACACACTGAGAAGCTGTAGAAAAGGATCAGCGATATTTAACAGAAGCACTCATTCCACAGAAACAAGCAGAACAAAAGTAGAACAATGTGGTGATATTTTGTACAACCCAGGGAATGAACAAGAATGGATGCCAGGGAAAATATTAAACAGACATTCGACAAGGGTTTTTGTGAGGAAAACCCTCATAGGAGCATGTCCTCATAAGAAGCAAATGTCAATTTCTTAGATACCCTAATCTCAGGACTCCAGGCTTGTCCTTCCACGGTCAAAAGAGGACAGTGGCAGCTCTATGCCATCAACTCCATACTCCAAAGCCAAAAAGGATGTTTTATACATCTATTGTAAAAAAAAGAAGAAAGCTTTCCGAGTTGACTTCTTATGGCTAGGGCCAAAAACGCTTCCCCAAACGATGCCTATACCAGTCACAAGCAAGGAGAATAAAATTACCAAAACTGTTCCCAATCCAGGCTTCCAAGAAGCTCCCAACTCTGAACAAACTAGAGTTCCAAAGACGGAGTAGGCAAGCTATGACCTGTCGGTTAATTCCAACCAGGGGACTGTTTTATACTGCTTGCAAGTGAAGAATGATTTTTATATTTTTAAAATGATTGCTTTTAAAATGGCTATGTAAGTACCCCAAAAGCTGAAAATATTTACTATCTGGACTTTTAAGAACATGTTTGCTGATCCCTGTTCTGAAGCAAAGAAGAAAGGGAACAGTGATTGCTGGATGGGAAATCAGCTGTCTTTGGAGCCATTACTGATCTTTAAAATGATTCAAAATTGAATACAAAAATTAAGGTCCCTAACTTCCTCTTATATTTAACCTTATCAGTACTCTGATGCTCTGCCTTTATTTTTTTGTCAAGCAGGCAGATGATACAATCGAGGCTCTCTACAAAGTGGTCAATCTATTCTTTTTTCTTCCACATACGTATTCTGAAATGGTTCAAGGCAATAAAATCCAAAATGCATGTGCCTTCCAAAGTAGGTGATAAATTTGTTTTTAGGGGGCAACAGTAACCATTTTATAGGACTACAGGTCAATCCCCATTCTCTGATTTTTACAATGGGTCATCTGGCAGGATTTGCACTGCTGCTCTAACTCAGTTTCACAGTGAAAAAGGGTGATGTTTTATATTTCACTGTGATCCCAGAGAGTTATAGGGAACTCTAATTGTTTAATGGTTCCCATAAGTTTGGATTTATTACTCTACTACGATTCTATAGGTTATATAATTGGGAATTGATAGTAATTCACTCTATTGATGGAGAAATATAGGAAAATAAATGACTTGAGCATGTTATCTACAAAATCTGTAACTGAAAGCACTGGATAAAAGGACCAACTAAAGCCCATGACAACCTGAAAGTCATGACAACATTGTCTTTTTGTCATCTTGGCTTTGGCAATTTTGACTCATACACACTGACAATTCTTCACTTGGTCAAAAACAGGCTTACCAACATTCAAAATATTCTTTATTATGTAAGGATTAAACTTCTAAAAAAAAAAAAAACCCAAATACAATCTAGTATTATGCATATAGTTAAGTAAGCACTTAAAAGGGTCATTCAAGCTGAGCTAACCAAATAAATGAGATTGCTCACTCACAAGGATTCTTCTAAGAATTCACAAATTAGGGTGCCTGGGTAGCTTAGTGGGTTGAAGCCTCTGCCTTCGGCTCAGGTCATGATCCCAGGGTCCTGGGATCGAGCCCCGCATTGAACCCCACATCGGGCTCTCTGCTCAGCAGGGAGCCTGCTTCCCTTCCTCTCTCTCTGCCTGCCTCTCTGCCTACTTGTGATATCTGTCTGTCAAATAAATAAATAAAATCTTTGGAAAAAAAAAAGAACTTACAAATTAAATAGCTACACACACACACACACACACACACACACACACACACTGCTCTCTGTAAGTTTTGTATTTTTAACCTAAAAAAAATGACAGATTTTATACATGCCATCATGAATTTATTATTCTTATTTTAAGGAGCTAAGTAGTAAAAAAAATAAATAAATAAATAAAAAATAAAAACCAAAAAACCACAATAGCATTTGGCCTGAAATATATAGGGTAT